CCCCCCCCTCTCTCTCAGCCCCCTCTCTCTCTCTCATCTTAGGCCGCTGGAAATGAGACATAAGGACTACTTGGCACAAAGCCGTCGTCTACGGAGACTATGCCGCGGTTGGTTCCTCGCCGCTGATCTCAACAAAAGAACGCACTGATATATTTACTGACCCTAGACAGACGCACCAGCGAGTCCTCGTGTGGTGTGTGGCCTGCCAACAAAGGCGATTTTCTGGGATGTGGCAGCTGTGGAGCCACAGACAATAGCTATATGTCATGTGCAGAGTGGAGTGGCAAGGAAGATATGTGCAAGTAAGATGGAGGGGAGAGGAAGGGTGGAAGGGCGCTTACTGTTTAAAATAACATATCTTGGATTTCCACAGACATGCATGCTACAGAATTCCTGCCAAGTGTTCTCGATGGGATTGAAGATTTCCACCAACGCACTTTCAGTTTCTACGTTCTCGTCACGTTTCACGGTGAAGAGCACATCCGTGGAGAGTTCGCGGTAAACACGGTCGGACTGGGCGCCCCGCGAAATGACTTCCTGTTCTTTCAACATCAACGTCATACGCAGGAGTTTGGTCTCCAGAGTGAGATCTCTGTACAAGTTTGACATGTCTGGGTATGAGATTTACGCATGCGGGACGATCATGACACATCCAGTTAAGAAGGACTACATGATGGCGATAGCAGAGACTAACAATAGTCTACACTAATAACAATTCCATTTGTGCGTACTGACCTGCTTTACCCGAAAGTCTGAAGCATACCCAGTGGGAGTGGTGGCTGCTAATGCCAGCCTGTGGTCGACTCGACGCTGCTCCTTTCAAGTCTACTGCAGCCTTCGTATCTTCGTCGCCATGCAAATAGTGACGTAAAGCCTGATAAACGGGAAGATTTCTACGTGCCGGATGATCGAACCGGCGTCAGAAAACCTCACCCACTCCAATGTGGACGTCGGAGCCGTCTCATTTTGGAATGTCAACTCCTACCAAATTTAAGATGTGGCTAAGACATACCAGTCGGCTGTATGCGTCCAGTCTCCGTGTTGCCCTGTGCAATTTTTTTCCGATGCATCCGGAGGCTGCCAATTCGGACCGGCAAGCAATGGCATAGAAATTACATCCTATGAATACTGGAACGCCTGCGCGACTCATTACCCTATCTGGCCGTGTCTCCGATGATGGGTTCGACTGGGAATCCGAAACGTCAAGCTAATATCTTGTTGAAGGGACCGTATCCCCTTCTTCATGACTGCCTCCTGGAACTCTCTTCTTCGCTTCCGCCGGCAGTCCGGTATTTCTTTCGTCTGACAAATGGACTTGGATTTCCGTTCGTCCTGAAGAGGTCACGGAATGATATCCTCTTTCTTCTCTTACCCTGGGACTTCTACATGACTCAAGATTTATCTTTTGACTCTAGTTCTAATCCACAGGACCGGCTTTTAAATAAGATGTCCCAGCACCACTCGTCTCTTAACTTGCAGGCCAATTTTACTTCCGAGTGTTTGCTGGGCATCGATCAAGCACAAATCCGTCCAGATTTCCTACAATTGTAGCGAGCTTAAAAATGGCTAGAATGTCTTGAGAACGTAAAGCAGCACGTTTGTGATTTAAGGGATATAAGAATTATTTATTTTTTCTTAAATCACCACATTCCAAATGCGCAACAAGACGTCGTTCCCGGAGAAATTGTTGTAAGAACTAAACGCTTGTCCGCTCTTTCTGGGAAAAATAAATTGCCTTACGCAAGCATTGAAACTCAATGAAAAAGGCAAATCTTATTTCATTAACGGTGATTTTGCAAGCGAGACAAGTGAGCAGGGAGATGTTAGCCTGATTTAATTTAGTATCGTGTTCCATGCTGTTGTTCTCCTTGATGTTGAGCAAAGAATCAGTTTTTAGGTTGTTTAGGATTTGGGCTCGGCCGGCTTTGAAAAATCAATCCAAGAGTAGGAAAAATATCAACTCAAGTCAGAGGAACGACCTACGTGCAATCAAAATGGGCCCTGCAAAGCAGGTGAGACAGTATCTGTTCCGCAAAGTCCTTCGAAAGTTTGCAAAGACGAAGTCGAGAAAATAGTCTTGGAAATGCTTCGGCACGCCCAATATTGACGACCTCCCGCAATGAAGAGGGCCGTTGGGCTCTTTCATTGTACACCCAGCTGACGATGGCCCGGAAGATATCATTCTCATTGGTGACAGAGAGGTCGTCCCGAACTAGGAAATCCTCCAACTCGGCCGCCGTAAGAGCCAGAAAGGCTGGGGTACCAATAAACTCCTGAAAATTGGCACACACGTATGACTGCAACATTTCCTGCAGCTCGAAGAGATCGTTTGCATGCGCAAATGACCAGTACTGTTGCACGACATCAAAGTCCAGTCTGCAAGGGTTAAAATTGACAATACGTTTGTACTGAATAAACAAAAGTAGGCATTTTTACGAAATTCAAAGGGACGGAACCCACAACTCAGCTCACGGTGAAACTAATTGAGTTACACCATTTGCTCAAGAGCACATGTGTCTGACCCAAGCGGCTTAGTACCTTAATTAATCCATCCGTCCAGCGAAAATGGGCTGGAAATTGTCTCCGTTAGGGATCATTTTTAGAACACTGTTTTCTGCTCTGTGTTCTTGCGTTTTTTAAGTTGTGCGCGACAGAATAAATCTCACTGTGATTCAAATCCTACCGTAGATGCGATGGCGCATAAAATGTTAATCGAGATTCTGAAATGCATTTTCGACTCGAAAAGCGTACTTAGAAGGGTTTTAATATTAACTTTCGTGCAGCGTACTTAAATAATATTTTAGCTACCTCACGATGCCGATTTTGAACGGACTTTTTTCCGGTCGCTTGCAAAAACCACACTCTGTAAAAAATGACTACTGGAATGGTACGAATTTTTCCCATTGATTTTCGATGGACTTATAAATTCCAATATATTTTACGGAAAACATGCATAAAAATATCCATTCTTTTGCTCATTTGGTAGAAGTTCACGTCTTCTTTAGATTTCTTACTGGATGTAAGGGTATAATTCGGCCGTTAAAGTTTGTGGTTATGGGATCCTTTAAGACCGTGAAATGCCCATTCATAAAACATGGTGTCTCTGCATTTACCAATGTTGTTTGTAAAGATTACGATGTGGCGCGAATCCACTGTTGAATTTTATGAATCCTATATGGTCTTCCCTTAATAACGTATAGAAACGTATGATTTTTTGTACATGCAAAATACAGCTTGCAGTTTCGAGGCCCCCAAAGCAAGTGTAAAGGCAGACCGGGTTCGAATTTAAGAAGACGTATTTCCTTCCAAACGTGTAAAAGAAAAAAATTTTATGCATGGCCCCTAGGAAATAAATTAGAGTTAATACGGACACCGACAGCTTGCGAGGAAAATTCATACTACTTAAGCAGCTACATCTTCCAGGGTGCAGTTTTGGAGGCAGCCGAGAAAGAGTTCGTTCAAAAGTCGGCATCGCGAGACGAGCATGCTGCACAGTAATTAATATTACAACCTTACTTAAGTAATCTTTTTAAGTCTAAAATGCATTTCAGAACCTCGGTTAAAATTTTATGGGTTATCCCATCTACTGTAAGGTTTTAATCATAATGAGACCTACTCTCTGCGCGCATAACTTAAAAAGCAAGAACACGGAGTAGAAAGCAGTGTTCCAAAAATGATGTCTAACGAAGTTGATTCGCAGCCCATTTTCGCTGGACGGATGGGTTACGCGGCAGAGAGTAAATCCCACTGTGATTCAAACCTATGTCGACGCTAAGCCTCCAGCTACAAATGGTGAATCCGGGCGAACCGTTTACGCAACAAAGAAGTGCTCTACGCTGACCTGCTTCTGGAGACAAGGAAGTTAACGAAGACCCGCACCTACCGTTGGCGTAGGAAGTCCAGACACGCTACTTCCAGCTTCTCCACCTGAAACAGTTTTGCCGCCAGAATTATGTCCCGCAGGTTGCTTCCCTCCTCCTGCATCGCCGACGTGGGGTCAAACACGCCAGAGTAAGCAAACTGCAGAACTGCCTGCACGGCCCTAGAGGAACAGCGTTTGGTCTGGTGAAAAAATTTAAATACCTCGGTGCGAGACGGTTGAGGACTGTGTAGTCGAGAATACTTGATTCATTGGGATTCAAGAAAAGATCCGCAAAGAAGGGAATGGAGGCCGCAAGGATAATTTTGTGTGCACAAAATACAGAGTCTCCGATCTGGATTGAAGGGGAGTAGGGGTGAGTTGGTATAACATGAACAGGGCTTACCATGAAAGTGAAATCACACAGTTTCTCCGAACCACGAAAGTGATCAAATTTAGCAAACCTTGAGAACAAAAAACCTCAGTTAGAAATAGTGCTCTTCCAGGATGTTGAGGTACAATTCATTCATTTGACATGGGAAAAGTGCCCTAGCTAAGATGTTTAAGCAGGTAACTCTGCGCTTTTCGTGTACTTATGACGACTGGCATTAATGCTCGTCTTGAGAGTAATGGATTGGTGCCATCCATCCCATTCGTCTGCAGCAGTCGGTGTCCAGTTGGCGTTGCACGCCCTATTACCGAAAACAGTTGGGTCTAGCGAACTCCACATTTGCCCACTTTCAATTGGCCGCCACCATCATCACGACGGTCAGCGTCAACTTGGATCGGGATTCACAGATGCGGCGTTGTAGGCGACTTCGCCTTCAGGTCAACAGAACGCGCGAACAAACCACATGAGGTGGAGGTTTTCAACTGCAGCACCAGCAGAAGGCGCCCCGACTGTCAATGAAGTTTTATGCTCGAGACGTAGTCTGTGAACCGAAGTAGTACTATGCTCTGGACATACTGGTTGTCGAAAATCGTCCTAAGTCATTAGAGGACAGGCGTGCAACTTTATGCGGTTTGTAGCCACTGAAGAACAATCTATGTCTCCAAGCATTAAGTTTCCAGACACCTATCGGGGAAGCCAAAATTATTTCATCAAGGGCAGCTTATGTTCCCTGGGATGAGATGCCAAGCAAAACAATGCCCTCGGTAGAGAACGCTTTGCTTCACCTAGACATCCGCGTAGTCGTTAAGTTGAGGTGGCGGAACGATGTCATGGATCATCTAGACGCCATCGTTGGTGGAGGAATATCCGTTTTCTCGCTGCGATTTCAATTTTCTCGTAAGTTAGCAGCATGTCTCGATCAAGTTCATGAATTCCAGCGACACGCCAACGACCTCTGTGGTCCGTTAAAAGGACATGTTGGTTGGTCGAGTCAAACACAACATTTCAATCTAAAAAATCACTGTTTTTTTAAAAAAAAAGTGGCGTTCTAAGATACGTCACAGAGTGGATATTTAGTCGGTATAGCACGGCACTAGTTCTGGGAGACAGATTTTGAACACCACACTCACTGAAATGTCCCAAACTGTTAACAATAATACCAAACAAACTCTTGTTGACTCTCACTACTAGTTCACATTCATCCACCGCGTTGCTGTCTCAAAGATGCTGCATTGTCGTTCGAGGTTCGGCAGTAAACGGCAGTACGCTGCAACGCCCAGTAGGATAACATGGGAAAATGTACTTGTAAGCGCGGTAACCCCTTATTTAATGGCTTACTAGGGAGGCCTGTCTTTCTTGTATTGTTTTACTGAACGCTAAATAGCCCCTCGTCAAATGCAAACGGCCATGAGGTTTTAATACATGGAGGCTCGCAAAATTTCTACGCCAAGTTCTACTAGTTTAGTTTGCAGTCACATTTCATTGACTGTGTCACCTGACTACCCAGTGCTCCGACGTCTGTCTCTGGTTACTCGAGTGCATGAAAAATCGTTCACAATTCTGGTGGTTTCGACGGGTACCGCTTCTTTCGTCTGGATGCGCATGGGAAGCCACGGTTGATCATCATCACTTTCCAATACAGCGAGCTAATTTACGATATTTTAATTATGGTGGCTGGCAATTCCATTGGATGGAAGTGTGCAAATATTCAGCTTTTGCGACGGACTAGTTTTCAGGAATGCCTTGAAAAGCAGGCGAATTCGCGCCACTCAAACTTTGTGATTTGAACTATACTGGTTGCCCGTCCAAACTCTGCGACGGCAAAGTAGAGCCGCAGTCAAACCGATTCATCCGAACTCAGTGACGGGCTCCGAGTCGTCGCTAAAGCATGAGAATTAGAGTCACAAACAGCATCGCTAAAATATTTGGATAAAGGACGATCGACGACAAAAAAGATGTCTATACGAGAGGGCAAAACCACTTACCGTTGCTGAAACAAAGCATCCACGTGAACATCATCAACCGTCGACGGTAGAAAGTCCTCGGTTGCCGCGGCACAGGACTGCGGCCTAAGGCCGGAGTAGGCAAAGGTAAGAAGGGCCTCGACAGTTTCACTAAACCGAGTTTAGGGAAGAAGATCAGTGTCTATACCTCGATGGCGGTATGCTTGTGGTTTCTTTCTCGTCGTAGTCGCCACCAAGCAACAGATCCTCGAAGTAGGGAATTGATGCAGCCAGAATAACCTTGTGTGCATAGTGTGTCCTTCCATCTACCTAGTATAAGGCATATGAACAACAAGACTGTTGTGGAATTACGTCCAATGCGAAGTCACACAATTCCCTGCGATTGCGAATCTCAGTGAATTGAGAAAAGCCTTGTCGGATAAAGGTAGTAGCTGCGGCCATCCCCACGTCTTGGCGCCAGGTGAATTCGTCTACATTTGAAGTGTGGAAAAATAACTCAAAGATATTCCTTTTTGCTGTGGTGTACGACAGGTCAAGAAAGCTGAATGTGAGAATTAACTTCAGAATTGTTTGAGAGGTTAATGGTCACATAAAGCACACCCCTCAGGGCGATGGTTGAGGTTACGTTCGGACGCTTATCAACCCTAAACACAGTCTGTCGTCCGGTTTACTGGAAGAGTACTCTGACCGTCGGCGTTATTTCGTATCCAAAAGTAGCCCACTAGTCCGCGCCTAATTGCGAGTGGCATTTTAGAATGTGGTGGCAGGAGCGGTATCCCAGATGTTGTTGGCAACATTGAAGAGGACGTGAAACCGCCTAACCAGAACCATCAAAACACTGCGCATATAGTCACAATTCAAGTAAGTCAAGAAGTGTTACTTGACGTTGGAGGTGTTCCACTACATAGGACCAACAGCGCTGTTTCACGCGTTTTTAAGGTAAAAGAGAATGTATTCAGTGACGCAGGTTGAGCTTTCATTGGCAGTGACTACGTGCCTTAAACGGAAGGCAAAAGCTTAAAATGGCTAAAGTCTCGGTCTGCATATGCTCCTCGGCCTGGCCCCATTAAGTGGGCGGTTGCCTGCTCGCGAACTACGCTGCCAGTGAAAAGATCTAATTTATTCAAGAATACTAACCCAGAGCGAATAACCATCTGACCTACCTCGATAAAAGCCATCAGGCGGGGAAGCGGTGATAGAATCTCCGCTTTCTAGGGCTGTCGACTATCAGTTGTTGTTGATTAGATGCACTATCCGCATGCGCGTCGATTCGTACCGAGCCGCTGATGCTGGCTCAGGGTCTAGCTAACTGACGGGGACGTCAACATGACTAAAGCAGATCTTTTATCGGTCTCCAGCGTTGTTACAAATCTATTTCTTAAGAAGGGAAATCTAACTTGTAAAAAACAGCAAAAGCAACCATAAAGAAATATAAACTTCAGCAGAAATTAAGGTGTGCACCGGGAGGGGGAAAACTGATTATGCATATGGCAGAAACAAGTCCACAGTCTCCGTCTCCACCGTCTGGAATAAGTGCGGAGTTCAGTAAGACCTTTTCGGGACCAGAGGGCGTCTGCCTGCTTGCCAACAAATGTAGCTGCATCCGACACGCTGTGAAAAATAGAGGTACTGCGGGATGCGAGGAGGAGACGCGGAATGTCGTCCATGGGCATAATTGCAACTATGTCAACTGCAGACGCTCCACATTATCGGTGCATGTGTTAGCTTCACCGAGGCCTTAGAAATAACTGACTACGCTTGTAAAGGCAGGGCGATTGTGTATTCCCAACATAGCTACGAATTAATGACAGAACTAACAATAGAGCGCTTAACTGGCATCAGAAGGAAATAGCAGTGTAAGAGGACGTCATATGGACAGCACGGCAAGCTTTTAGTGCGAAAGAGCGTTGAAAAAAACGGACTACAAAGATAATAACAAGGTTGACGGGAGTGTGATGGATGAAAGAAAGCTAATCAGGCCGACCGATACAAGTCATAACTATGCCATGACGCCAGAGGGGAGGCGGAAAAGCAGGGCTTGTGAGCCGGAAATTGGTAAATTGACTTTTCCGCCCGAATTTCAGCCCAATAAAATGCGTCCAGCCCATCGAAATATTTTGCCTACTAACTTATTTTTTTCGATATTTATTTACTTACTTTCATCATACTTTTCCTCCAATTGCAACAAGATGCTTTATGCTGCCACTTTAACTTCGCTAGCCCATATTCCTGCGGCGGAATTAACCGCCGGAATTTAAACAGGTGGCCCAGATCCCCAACATCGCCTAAACACACCAAACGAGAGACATTTTACCTGCCTTCACGTTTATGCATGCCGACTTACACAAGAAACGGATTCACGCTACCCGTGCCGCAAAAACTCTGTGCGGTCATCCCCTAAAACGCTGCACATGCAAATCAAGATCAAGGGCAGCATGTTTTTCATCAGTAACAGAGCGGCTGCAGCGTGGAACTACTTGCTGCATGATGCTGTTCTCTCCTCCTGTATGGGTTAATCTAAGCGTAAACTTGAAACACGCCAAGCTTCCAAAGTACCAGCCACCCACGCACGTATCCAGCCAACTAACCTTCGTGCTCGTGTTTACTCTTTCTCGACTACCAGAGGGCTGCTTGCTCTCCACAGGCAATTATGCGACTTATCTCGTTTTAAATTCTCCTTTCCGGTCGGTATTTTCCTCCAGACACTTTAACCAATGTAGGTTTCGGAATCATCGCCATCTTTCCCATAGTAAGTCTTAACTAAACTGACTTTGTATGGAGTGTGAAGAAAGGAGATGACCCTCGGACTGGATTATGATTCAGCCCTTAAGACATGGACATCTGCTGACCAGGTATCTACTTAAAGATACCGTTCAAAGAGGTCAAAATTCCGCTTCTCCAGATTAACGCTTTGATTCAACCTGCCGTCGACGCTGATGGATACTATTGCACATTATCCTCTGTGTTGATTAAGAGTCTCTGTTTCTTATTCCCACTTCCACAGGACTTTTGTTACACTGGTGATACTTCTGAAAACACCACAGTAGTGTGTCTGTCTTGATTTGCGTAGTTATACGCGCATTGTCGACGTAATCTTCCGTCGTGCTTTTCAGCGTCCCTTCTTCGTTACATCTTTTTGTAAACAAGATGGTGGTACTAACAAGAACCTGAGAATGGCGCCTTTGCCTTCATAAGCATTTGCCTCCCCTATGCTTGACGGGCCGACCCATAGGTTACTTTGAGGACCCGCTTCATAAAATCCAAAGGTGTTCATTACACCATTTCATCCTTTAAACTCCGACTTAGATAGCACACAAATTTAGGGCTGCCTGATTAAAGTCCCTATCGCCATCCCATCCCTATTTTATCCACTTTAATGTAATCCTAAGTTGAGTTTTGGTGCACTTCCGTTGGCCGGGGTCCTTAGAATTTGGTGTCAGCAGGCTGATGGGTTGGTGAACTACAATTTTTGTTATTTCAATAATACTGCATTATTGCTCCATTTACAATTCAACTAGTGCAGGAAGATCAAGGAGCATTTTCGGTCTCTGCATAAGATCAACATTACACTTGCTCAAAGACCCACGATCATGAAAGGCGCATATTCGGCCACATCAATCAGACGCCAGCTACTAAGTTACTCCTCTATCTTACGACGCGTCGATGAAACAAGTATGTGTTTTAAGCGGTCTGCGTCATAGCCGGACGTCACTTTGGATTGAACCACTGAGAATCTAAACATGCCTAGGGTATCAAGTGCGCCCAAGGCAATGGCTCATGGAGGAGGAATCTGTGCTATGGCCTGTAAGATTTATTTCGGATTTCGCATTTGAAATTTAGCTCGGTACTCTCTGACTAACACACATTCCGCGATTTACTTGTCGGACTCGAGTTATGACGGCACATAATTTGTTTTACTTCCACTCCGCTCGATAAATACTTCTCTAAAATAGTTGCTATTGGAGCCCCCAAAATCGTCTCGTTTTGATTTTTACCGAACTTCATAAGTACTGATAACAACAAACGCTTTCTCTGCTTGGCATTTACTCTGACCAGGATACTGTCGAATCACGTGCAAGTGCATTCACATTCATCCATGTTGGTTAATTATTACTGCCTAGTCTAATTGACTCTTATTGTCTAATAAAAATAACAAGACCATGTGCGCAACCGCCGCGGGTCACCCGGTAACAAAAAGACCATGAAAAAGAAACAGAGGCTGTGGAAAAAGTATTTGCGGAGCATACCCTTACAAAACTACTGCGTGATCACATGGGGCTAACCCCATTGGGTAGTCTATATCGTCCATACTGTCCGGCGTTTTCGTGAAAACGAAATTAGATGACTAGCCCTCTGTCATCCACACGCCCTTTTCGGAATTAAAAAATGCAGCGCTAGAATACCTTTGATTTTTTAAAGTCGGGTAGTTAGATATGCCTTTACACACACTTCGTTGAATGTTTGTGTATAACAGTAAAATGAGGCCGGTACGAGACAGCCTGTGCACTAGCAAGAGGCCGATTCCGGTAGTTAGATATGCCTTTACACACACTTCGTTGAATGTTTGTGTATAACAGTAAAATAAGGCCAGTACAAGACAGCCTGTGCTCTAGCAAGAGGCCGATTTCGGATTTTGCATAGACTCTCTTATCTCCGCGCGCCAGTTTTGGCCGAAGGGTGCAGGTGCACGCAGGTGCCGGACATCGACGCTGTACATATGGGCGAATGGACAACGGGAAGTTAACAGATAGGAGGGGCACAATGGGGCACCGCTGCATCCAAAAAACCGATAGAGTTGTCAACGAACGCCTGAAGCAGGCCTCGGGGAGTCAAATTCGCACCCAAAAACGCCATGAAGTAGAGAATAATTTGGACGCATGAAGCAGCTCACTTGGCTCTTCTGTAAGCCTTGACCTGAACTAACTTCTCCCATCCGAAAGAGGCTGCTCGGACACTCCCTGGCGGCAGATATACTCGCCACGAAACCTCGTGAAAATTGCGTTGGAGCAGTCTTAAGAAGAGGAAACACTGCCTCCCACAGCGAAGGAAGAAGGATCACAATACAACGTTTGTTCAGATGCGAATGCAACCTATAACTCGCCATACCTGAGTTGACAGATAAGATCGGCTAGTTTATCTTAATGAACTGCAGTGATTCACGGCGCTTATTCGGACACTAAATCGCTGCGCATCAGTTAAGGACCCCTCAATGTGACCCAGGTCAACATGTAACAGGCACAAGGTGTGCTGGACGGTATAATCTGATAGCATTAAAAGGCGGTACTAGGTCGGTTAGGGCTAAGACCACAACAAGACGTTAGGCCTACTGCGGATGTTCCACGCAAACTATGGACAATAGGCCTCCCAACTGGAAAATTGATTTCGGCCAGTCACATTTTTGTTGACCTCTGATGTAAACCAGCATAAATCAAGGTGATATAAGTATAAGTGGATTTAATTGACGACCGTCGTAGCCGATCGGTACAACGAACGGCAACGACATTCACCAGAAGACGCAAACTAGTTGTATGCATCTATGGTCTGTCGCTTTTTTCTACACAATGAAAAGAGGTATACGCACACTTCAAAAGATCAACCTACCAGTTGGCCAACAGAGTCCTTGTACTTTTACAGGTGCCGCAAGACCAAGTTACTGTTTTGCAAGACGACAGGTTTACCAGTGATGTATTGGTGGAAATTCCTTTCTAAGATGACGATAGCTGAGATTCCTTTGTACGTGGTCATGAGGATTTACGTAAACTTTAAACTTTATGGCTGTCGGTGGTGAGTTAGTTCTTCAGTTCATCGACCGACAGTTGAGGTACGACTATCTCGACGGCCCTATCACAGACGTCATTGCCTAAGTTAACGGAAGTGGTCGATCCACAAATGTCTGAGATCATGACCGTCACTTTATTTTTCTCTTAAAAATCTTCAAAACTCATCAGATCATTGGGACGTTCTTTGCTTTTGTATGACGTGAACATACACATAAACCAAACCAAAAAGACTGCTGAGCCTCGAAACTGAGGAAGGCAGAAACCAGCCTACGTTTTACTCAGACTTCATTTACTCTGCTTCGTTCACAGTGAGAAGGCAGGGTTATCTGCGAAGAAACCGAACTTCTGGAGAAAATGATACTTATCTGGATTCCGTTTTTAATCAAACACTAAGGCGAGACTAAAAATATCAGACAGCGTTGAGTGAGAATTCACTGTGGGAGTTTGAACAATCCCATAGTTTGTGGAAATAAGCCCCATAACACAGTTGCGGCGTTTTCAGTCCCGAAAGTTGTGATTTCAAGTTCATGACAACCAGATATTATGGAGAACTCCGTTCTAGATCTACAAACCGAAGACAGCTGGACTTGTCGTTGCTTACCCCGAGGGTCAAGTATGGGGATTCAGTCAACAACTTTAGGTAAATCAATTGGATGGTCGCAGATTGAGGTTTTCATAGTAAAGAGACAGCCTAAGGTACCTGTTCTGCCTAGCAAGAACAGTCAGGTTCGCAAAGGACGAATGATGCTACTGTCCAGTATGTCTACGAAAGTTGGTTTCAGTCCCTTTGGCGAATGGACTAGGTGGAATTTGCGAGAAGACCCTGTCTCGGTGATGTTCTATGGGATATTCGTTCGACTTAGTGGTTCACCATCCGGACTAGACTACTTTTCTGTTGAAGGGATGCAAGACTGGGCAATATACTGTCGTACCCCTTCAGCAGCAACGTAATCTAGTCCGTTGTTTGGCGCAAGGGGTTGGAAAAATCTTTTCGGCTTCGCGAGAACGGGTATTCTGACAGATTTATTGTAAGGGGTCTTGCTGGACGACGGGCAAAACTCATCATACCGACAGCAGAAAAGAATACCCTGCTCCTCAAAGTCCCCTTTCAAGGGGACGTGGTGAGTGAACTTCTGAGAAGACGCCTTGACCAAACCGTTTCCCGAACCTTCCCGCAACAAGAATTCAAGTATTATTGTCGATCAACTCCGACTTACTCGGCGAAGGTAAGGATAGGCAACCAGCTCAGACCACCTCAATGTGCATTTACTCCTTTGCTTGTTCCTGTGGAGCAGGCTATATAGGTCGTACGAGCGGTGCCCATCCGCACGAATACGAAAACGCCTACCGGCGTGACTGAGGAAAGATGAAATTAATAGCATGCAGAGCCGTCTGTATGAAAAGACGAACGGTAATCGACTTCTCTTATCAGTCACGAGTTTTACTTGATATCTCGTTCCCATATAAATGTACTGGCCGGATAAGCCGATGATAATTTGTCGTAAGCACCCTTATGCTCGCCAAATGCTCTTCTGAATACTTGCATTTATAATCTCAACTGCACATGGGGAGGACCATTTGGGACTCTGTCCGTAACCTCTAAACCAGCTGAGTTTTTTCGGGTAATTATCACGATGCGTCAAATGTTTTCATGTAAAACGCACATGTTGCTGACAACATTTAAGTAATGCACATATCCGAACCCGAATTTTACGTCTACCACTTCCAATAGGGTCATTATGAACATCGCTTATTACCCAAAATACCTCCTATTATGCAAAAACGATTAGTTGCTTAAAAGTCGTTGAATGGCCAGTGTGGTAGGAGAAGCGAACGTAAATTAGCTCCTATTTTACTTAAGACACTGTGAATTAAAACTAACCCAGAGGAGGCAAAGGAATCTGACCCCACAAAGTCCTCACTGGATATCAGAACGGTTATTAAGGGGATGTCGAAACTCCCACGACACCTGACGGAATGCTGTGTTGTCCAAGACATGGACAAGGAGGATCTGAATGGGTCATAGTGATGCAAAAATACAATTTCTGTATTTTGATTCATCGAGGAAAAAGTGCTGATGATACCTTCAGATCTGCAGCGACAGAGAATGGCAGGTGGCGATGCATTGACGAACTTCGGTCCGATGAAATGTTCATGACCTATTTGGCAGACCCCAGTGGTAGACCAACTGCGCCAGGTGTGTCTGTGCGCATGTTTGTGCTTCTGATCCCAGCCGCTGGTCAGGGTTATGATTGGCCGAATGAAGACAAAATAAATCCGAAACAGCACTGTATCAATCTACCTGCATTCTCTGTCGTCCCTCCTCGCTGCTATTATGACTCCGCCGACTTCGACCTGGTCGTTGGTTGCCTTTTTTGACCTTTGCCACCCATACGGAGCTTGTGTGTTCCGTGAAGCCAATGGATCGGTGTGCGCCTAGTTCTGCATGAATGTACACATATATACACCTGAGCTTCATCCAGGAAGAGACGAGATCTCACTCAAGCCTCTCAAGTAACATGGTGACGAACTTTCTGTACCTCTGTCAATGCTTTTTCAAAAGTCACTTGATACTGGGACACTTCATATCGTTTGGAAGCTGGCGCATATAACTCCACTGCACAAAAGCAGTATCAGGGCATCGACAACAAATTACAGGCCCATAAACCTGACACGCGTTCTCAGGAAAGTCATAAGGCGGTTCATAGAGAGCAAATTGGTGCAATTCCTGGAAGTCTATGCCTTGCTATCGAACTGCCAACACAAGTTCAGGAGAGGAAGATCATGTACGACAAATTTGTTGCAATCTCTCCAGAGCAGGACCCGAGCTCTCTACGACAAACACGCGGTCCACAACGCCTTCATTGACTTCCAGAAGGCGTTCAGCACTGTGGACACGAGAGACGGTCACACAAGTTGGATAAAACAGGGACCAGAGGCAACTTCCTCAAATGGGTCGAGAACTTCTTTGCGGGTCGACACCAGGTTGTGTGAATCGGTCACTATCTGACTCTCCTGTGTCGATAGTGGTGTTCCCAGGGTTTATTATATCGGTGTGGAAAGATCGACAGGATAGTCTCCCAAATCAGAAGTCAGGAAAGGCGGCTTGAGTTGGATTGGACAACCTTTACTGCTGAGGAAGTGCGAGAACAAAGGCTCTGCAAGCATTCGCCGCGAGCGTGCTCTCCGCCGTCGAAGTGCTCAGACTCGGCGCGCGTGTGCGCCTTTCGCTCAGCCTCAGCGTCCGCCAGCCAATCAGAGGGGGGACAGTGTTGATTGGCTTCGAGCACTCGAGAGACTGGTGACAAGCCTCGCGGATCCCAACAGCGACTCGACAGGGAGCGTGAGGCGGACAGGAAGGCAGCGTGACAAATGCGGAGGTCAAGGAGACGCAAACTGCCACAAGTACTGAGGTCCATCTTGCTCCTAATGGACGTGGACGACTGTGCAAGGGCTTTGGTCTGCGAAGCAGCAATGTTTGCCGAGGACATGAAATGTGGAGTGTACTTCAGAGTCCTGCCGACGAATATAGAATGTGGATGAACCTAAATCGGTTGGAGGAGTGGTCGGACCGTTGGCTCATCCGGTTCAGTGTCGGTAATTGTTGTATACTTCGCCTAGGCAACCCAGCCAGTTCCACTTGCACAAGAAACAACTTTCTCGACGGTGCAGCTTTAGAAGATATCGACGTACTCCCTATAACCATCTGCTCATTGTTCAAGAGTGGCAGTATGTGCAATATCCGTGCTGCACGATAAAAAAACGAGCAATTATGGATTTCGACGGAGACCTCTTCACTAAGACTTTTGGAATGTCCGCGCGGCCGCAATTTGAATACGGCATACAAGCCCAGAGACCATGAGCGGTTCAAAAGAAAGCTCCAAAATAAACCTTGACGTATTTATCTTTCGAACTGAACAAGACCGATGAGAGATCAGGCTCATCCCATGTGATGAATTATTTCAGACCACATAATTTCTCTGTTCACCGCTGCTACTATCTCTGACGATGGACTCCTGTAGGAGTTCGGAAGTTCCGATGCTCGACCATCTTTGTTATTCACTTATACATGCACCTGGGAACTCAAACTTCCGTCTTCATTCATGAAAAGTTTTACGCTGCAAATAGGGTATTCGAAGGATCCCACCTATGTCCCTCAGCGAACCGAACTGAACTGGTCACGTCCAGGGCACAAAATGACAACCGTAGGCAACATCACCTATTAAGATAGCTGTTATGACCCGCCTGGTACTTGAAATCCCGTGGAGCGCATACGCACTCGACCCATGTCCCCAATATCAAAGCAGCAGACAAAGAAAACACGGCTGGCCACGCAATGTGTATTAGAAAAACTGCAAGTCGCAACTAGCTGAAAGGTGACGCATATTTATAACACCTGGTTGGTCAACACAGAAGATTCAGACGAATTTTGGCAGTACTTTCGCGGGATTATAGAGCGTCTAATTGATTCCCATTGTCCAAGAAAAATGACAAGACCATGTATGCGACCGCCGTGGGTCAATCCGACGACAAAAACGACCATGAAGAAGAAACAGAGACTCTGGAAAAAGTATTTGCAAATTCGAGATCCAAGGTCACTCGCCGAATATAAGGATGAGAGCAATAAATGCCGTAAAGAGATACGGGTTGCTAGAACTTCTTTCGAGCGTCGACTGATAGCAGAATCCATTACATGTCCCAAGAAGTTTTACGGGTACATCCGCAGTGGGAGGAAACATAGGGACGAAATTGCGTGTCTAAAGGATAGCCTCGGAAACTTAGTAGTTGAAGGGCCACTGAAAGTGCGATTACTGTCTCAGTTTTTTCAATCGGTTTTTACCGAGGAGTCCCTAGAAGACAATCAGCAGTTTGAAATGGACCGGGACAGCCGGGAGCTTCAAATGCGCCAAGACATTGCCGTCATTGAAACCGTCGCCTTTTCCGTCGAAGAAGTCAGACGCGTCCTCAGTCAAATAAAACCTGATAAGTCTCCTGGACCCGACGGAATTCCCGGGCTGATACTTAAGGAGCTATCAACGGAGCTGTCAAAGCCTCTTTCGACTCTCTTTGAGCTGTCAATGGGAACAGGAAGGCTGCCCTCACAGTGGAAGACAGCTAACCTCGTTCCATTGCATAAGGGAGGTAGCAGGATGACAGCAAGCAGCTTTAGGCCTATTAGCTTAACTTGCCTCCCTTGCAAAACGATGGAAGCTATAGTAAAGAGCGCTATACAGCAATTTTGTGAAGAAAATAACATCTTGCAGGATTTTCAACATGGCTTCCGGAGAGGACGTTCCTGCCTCTCAAATCTGCTAGTCTGTCTGGAGATCTGGACCAGGGCTCTAGAAGAGGGTTTTGAGGTCGATGTCGTATACATCGATTTCCGCAAAGCTTTTGACACTGTCCCGCACCAACGTCTTCTTCACAAATTGAGCGCCATCGGCATCCGGGGAGATCTTCTGAACTGGATTAGGGCGTTTCTGGTTGGTCGGAAACAACGTGTCTGTGTCGGGGATGATATGTCAGAATGGGTGAATGTGACCAGTGGTGTGCCGCAAGGCTCAGTTCTGGGACCATTGCTCTTCATCCTTTACGTTAACGACAGCCTTCAGGAACTCGACTGCGGCAAAATAATGTTTGCAGACGACGTTAAGCTCTGGCAAGTCATTAAGGGTCCGAATGATCAGAGATCCCTTCAAGATAATCTGTACCGACTGCAAGCGTGGTCGAAGAAATGACTTATAGATTTCAATGTGGAGAAGTGTGCCATCCTTCATCTGCGTCCAACCAACTCTCATTTAAATGAGAACCTGAGGACATATCACCTGAAAGATATAAGTCTCCCCGCAGAATCTTCACAGAAGGATCTCGAGGTTTGGATACAGAACAACCTGAAACCAACACTGCAGTGCCTTAAGGCTGCAAAAAACGCCATGGGAGTGCTGCATGCAATAAAAAGGGCTTTCGTTAACTTTGACCAAAACCTTTTTGGGAGAGTTTACGGCACATTTGTTCGGCCCCACTTAGAATATGGCATACAAGCATGGCGGCCGTGGCTAGTAAAGGACCAAGCATGCCTCGAACGAGTACAACGGCGTGCAACAAAGCTGGTAAACGGCCTAAAAGGCCAATCCTACACAGAAAGACTGAATTACCTTAATTTATTCCCTCTGTGTTACAGGCAGCAAAGAGGTGATCTTATCCTCGTCTACAAGATAATACATGGCCTTGAGTATGGACTTAAATTTGAGGACATGTTTCAGTGGCACCTTTCACCCAATCTTCGTGGTCACTCGATGAAGTTACGGGCAACAATGTCCAGGCAGAATCTTCGTTCTGAATTTTTCACGCAGAGGGTAGTGGAGAAATGGAACGATCTCCCTCAGTCAGTCGTGGAGGCTACGTCCCTGCAACTCTTCAAGAAACGCTTGGATGATTATTTGTGTCCCCTGTTTTCCCTCGACAGTCTGAATCTGAACTAATACCCCTGGTCCAGACAAATATATTCTCTGAGACAATGCTACTCAAATGAACCAAGTACTGTTTTAATAGTGAACATTTTTTGTTAGTGTACAGTTATTTCTAACGAGCTGACATGTAATCAATAGGGTTTTCAAAGGCTTTGCCTATTATCCTTACCAAATAAACTGAAACCCTACTGTGGTTCGCCGGTATTCGGCCCAATGACCTTCGGGATGAGGGGAGTAGCCAATGGAGAGGCGCCCGACTAAGATGACAGCGCTGCAGAGAGAGTAAACGCACGTGATCTCCAGTGATTGGTTAGCTCTTGTTTTTGAGAGTGTAGGCACTTCCAACAATAGCATTCTCTCCTGCAGCATCAAAATCGACGACAAAATGGCTTATCGGATCTTGAAAGCAAGTCAGGTCTTCGGTCGGCTGCAGAGCCCAGTATGGAATCGCCACGGTCTCCACGTCAACACCAAATTAAGATGCACAAAGCCGTCACCTCTACGACGTTGCCGTATTGAGCGGAGGCCCGCACGGTCTGAAAGGAACAAGCGCGGAAACCCACTCCCTTCCATCTCACCTGCCCCGGATAATCCTAAAGCTGCGATGGCAGGACAAGATGCCGGGCGCAGGAATCCTCAGCATCCACACCAATCTGTGGCAACCACAATGACAATGGAACGACTACCTCGCGGGGGTGGGCGATGAGCGTTCACTAAAACGACTTTTCTGCTGAGATGTCGCCACGGATGCTTGTCAAACACGCTGCCACTGGGACAACATAAAGATTCGAAGTGTTTTCAAACTGAGCCGAAAACCTGGAAAGATCTTGCAAAGGACCGATCGGCCTGGAGAGGAGCAGCCATCTAAGAAGCCAACCGGATAGCCGATGCCAGAGCCAAAGAGCGGCTCGCAGGTTTTGAACGCCCCGACCCATAAGGCCAACACCCAACCTCTTTCAACATGCCCACGGTGCCAACGAACTGTCTGCGCAAGGATCAGCCTCGTCAAACATCCCAGGATCCAGTACAACAGCTATCCAAAAATTCCAATCGTCACCCCTGTACCAGCCACCACGGCGTCCGGGACAGCGACCTGTTCCAGCACCGATGGTCAAACTGCCGATGTCCCGCCGCCGTCAATCGCGGTCATCTATATTATCCCTACCACGAACTCTGCAACCATGGCGACGAATGCCAGATATCCCACTACCACCGGCGACCAAAACTTCCCGGATGCCCTGTCGATCATCGCCCTCATTATCACCATCTCCATCCCCTGCGATGAGGACTCGGTCCCAACCTGTCCTAATTGCAATTACACACTCAACTCACGCATCGGCCGGGTCGGTCGCTTGCGAATCTACCGCATCAGCGCCAGTAGCCCTACATTCGCTGATCGCATCCGCCTCCACTGTTAACGCGCATTTATTCGCTCCATGTGCTTATACGGTCACATGTGTATTCACAACAGCGGAATTCACAGCAGTGTGGACATGGCTGCCCAGTCATCCTCGTCCTTCTGACTCCTGCTGGGGTGATGTTGTTGCCGGTGAAAAATCCCGGTCAAGTGTGTGTTGTGGACTAGGGGGTGTGGTGACGCGTCTAGGTGCGGGTCCGACCGCGCCAGTCACCTTCGTCCTCTCTTGCCTCCAGCCTTTTGACTCTGTCTTCACATCGGGTCCAGGTGGGAGAGGATGAGAGAGTGCGGCAGATGTAGCACAAGTAAACCATCACTATAAAATAATTCACTTGCAAGTCATCGTCCCTGCTCTCACCCCGCTGTAGAGCACACGGTGGATATCGTCGAAGTCGACGGTCGAAATGTCAGGAGACGCACAGGACACGCGGTCAAGGCTACACAGAGTTCTAGCCGTGTTGATAAAGAAACATGGCGACAAGCAATGAAACGGACAAAAGCTTTACCGCGAGAACAGCAGGTCATTTAACAGGCGGGACTTGTATAAATGGCAAAATAAGAAGGCAGCGAAAGAAGAGGGGAGAAAAGTGATAATAAACAGAGCAAGTGCTTCATTTCCGGCCACTTGGAATTGCGACATTGATCACACCGGCACAGGATACACGGGCAGGCTGGTCAGGCGCGCAGAATGGCCGCCAACGCCAGTTACTTAATGGGTCCTAGAGCAAATAAAAAAGTGCCAGTAAACATGTGGAGTTGTGGCAGTTAGGGAGAAGACGTGTGCATCACAGTTCAAATGAGGCAGTTGATAGCAAGACGGCGCGAGAGATAACCGGTGTGGAAATACCGCCAGGCATCGGTCGGGGGATTCGTCCAACCTCACTCCGCCCACATGCATAAAATTGACTGTTCGACCGTCGCAGGCGACTACGTGCACTCCCCGGGAGTGGACGCAGCATCGGCTAGGCACGCGGGTTAATTAGTTTGTAGAGAACCAGGCTCGCGCAGCATCTACCGCAATCTCTCCTCTCCCCCGCTGACTGTGCCCCAAAAGCGGGGCTGTGTCAAGACGACCGGAAGCAGGTGCAGGCGAGTAGATGACAAAGTTAAACAGCCCGTCTACGCGTGCCATCCACACGACGTGGTTGTCGCCACAGGTCGGCCCGTATCTTACATAAATGACAATGTCATGGAGACCAAACCAAGAAGGAATCATTACAGCCTCAGTCCTGATGAGGACCGAGTTGTCCCCTCAGTTGGTAACCTTCCAAGCCGTGCCTTATGGCGTATCAGATTGGTTATGCTGAGGATGCGCTGATGTACGGCGGGGATGAATTTCCCGGGGTTTGCCCCACTCCCTTCTCTTTCCCAGACATGTCAATCAGTTGGTAATGGTATTGAGAGCAGTGGCCGACGCGGTCTAAGTCCAATGTACGACAGTGGTAATAACTCTGGGCAGACAGATCATGGTGTTCTGTGGGGGCCAGTGTGATCCCCGTTTTTTGTCCAGCGTACTCGTTCGTGTTCGACCGAGGGCGTTCCAAAGGGTCAGTATCATCTTCCCGATTGGCAATTTCAAAGCGGCTAGTGGAAAAAAACCGCCAAACCGATACTCTAGTGACAGAAACGCTTATTAGCATGTCCTAAACTTTGAAGGCCACGTCGGCGATGACAGAGGATCTGAATGGGCAAAGGGTGGCGTCAACAGTGGTTCGTCCCACTGTATGTCAAAATGATGCCTTCCCCCCCCCCCAACTGATCCGCACACGAAAAGACAAAGGTTAAGGCCAGAAAATGAAAGCGCCCCTATACGTGGCGGGTGAGTGTGAGAACTGGTCGTTAGGTCGTGAAACCACAGCCGGGCGTCAGGGTGAGGGAGGCACTGACTCTGATGAACATCTCTCACTATAGGTCGACGGGGTGAGAAGCTAAGGCCCCGTGAGCCCTTGACATTACCAACGACCCTCGGTGGGGCCTCATAGCTCAGGTGGTTAGTGCTGGTGATACTGAAAGCCTTGCCCGCTGCTGTTGTGGGTTCGAATTCCATCGAGGCCGCCGCGTTCTTTCCCAATTCGGTCATAATGAGGCTAGATGCTGTGATCCAACTCTACTTGAATTAGTCTTGTCGATGGAGCGAGGTGGGAGTTCGGAGAGTGGGGTCGATGCCGAGCGAGTTTCCCAACGTGTAATCCGTTGCAGCACCACGTCCCCCAGGAATGGGCATAGTTCACACTGGAAACTATGGGTAAAACGTCGAGTGGAGTGGTAGCAAGCTCAGCTGGCAGGATGATGAGGATGATGATGATGATGATGATGATGATGATGATGATGATGATGATGATGATGATGATGATGATGATGATGATGATGATGATGATGATGATGATGATGATGATGATGATGATGCGGAGGAGGAGGAGGAGGAGAAGAAGAAGATTGTCGCCGTTGTTGGGGTGGTGACGACAGCGATGACGACGATAATGGCGATAATGGGTGTTGTTATTGTCGGGCAGAAAAACGACGCCTCCGCGTGTGTACTATCGACTACATCCTAGGCGCCTAGCCAATGGACAGATTGGCGCCCGGAATTTCAAACATAAGTTCAAGCTGACGTCCAACCACACTGCGTGAGTGGCGGGTTTAATGCGACTAACTGTGTGGATGCTAGAGGTTCACAAATGGAGGTCACGGAGATTTCAATCCCAGATTAGTCAGATAAGACCCTAAAAAGCCAAACCTGTGAGAAAGAGCCGTCCTAACCGATTCTCAAACACGCCGTTCGCGTGCTGACGATGCGCAAGCCCTTGACAGAATTGGAGGTTTATCCAACCATTAAGATGAGCCAGATGGTCGCTCCCCCCTCCCCACTCCTCAACTGGGCTCGAAGCGTACTGTTGCCGATCGCGTCTGGGTTCGGATCGTCTGGCCTCTTTGACGCGAATAGTCTCATCCGGCGTATCAATCCTGCCCTGACGATATTCGTTCTGAATCCCGTACACAATACCACATGCAGGGCAGTCCTGTCCGACCCGCATACGTACCCCTAAAGTCTGACATTTATATCTGCCCTGACGATGTCCGATTATAATCAAGGCTGACATTTATACCTGCCGCTTTTTAATTTCCTTAGAAATTATCTACTCCAACTTCCTAGATAATTTCTGAGGAAATTAAAAAGCGACAATTTCTAAATTGGAGTATCGACCCGAAAACACACGGGGGATGCTGGGGGACCCACTGACGAGCCGAACCCCTCGCAGCTGCGCCATGCAGCGGCAAAACATCGGCGAAACACGCGTATATCGGCTTTTGGCTAGTACCTATGATGTTAGTATGGTATCACCTTACCCTAAATTTAGTTCTGCCCTGACGACGTCTGATTATAATCCATTATGTACCGCCACATGCAGGCCAGTCCTGCCAACATTTTTGTGTTATTATAAGTGAGGGTTTTTTCTACTGTAAAATTAATCCAATCATTTTAAAATTTTTAAGTGGAGTTTTTTTCACCGCTCGCTTATCATTTTTCTTAACGACTAAAAATTCAGAAACTATGAATTGCATCTTGTGCAGATTCTGCCTACCTTGTCTAAAATTCTTATGTATATTTATGTTTACTTGCTTTGATGGGACCTCGACGGGTCTTTAATAAAAAATTATTAAGTCCACCTGATAAACCAACCACGCAAGGCCACCGTCTGATTGGCCGAATATCAGTCCGACCTTGTGTATTCCTAAATGCTTTTTTGCGTTTTATATGCGTACTTGGTTACTTGTCAGTAAAGTTTTAATCCGCTCCTGCAGTTGAGTTCTGATTCGGGCATTTGTTCATGTAGACGTGTTTAATTGAAGACTAATGTGGCATGCGGTGGGTCATAACAGAACCAAAGTGTCGGTGGGTACAATGCCGCACCCCCTCCCCCCCGTCCACCGTCAAAGCCCTCTCCTCTCCCGTGGAGATGGTCAGCTCACGAGGGAGATTAGGATATCTGCGTCCGCAGCTCGCACCACTTACCGAGTCAGGAAGTGTTATAGTGCTATCCTCCTCCGTGTCGCTGGATTCGGGGTCGTCTGAAGTCGAAGTGTGCTCCGAAAATGAAGACTCATCAGCCGGATTTGTCGCCTCTTGCCTCAGGTTTTCAAGCTCTTCCTCACTGCAAGGACGGAAGCACTGGGCAATACCAACTTTGTGGTCGTATCGGTCACGACCTAGGGAATGAAAACAATAAAAACTGGGATAAGGGGGCAATTTGCAGGGAGAGGAATAGCATAGGTCGATGGACGGGTCACTGGGAGTTGTGGACGGGTGAGGAGCGGTCTCTGCTCAACCACGGGCACCGCTATCACCAACCTTTTGAAAACAGTTCCCCGTGAGGGTCGAGGGAGAAGAATATTTCTGAAGACAGATTATTGAAAGCGAAGAGCTATCGCGGTCAGAAGGCGTGTTATCGGACGGACTCCAACCGAGACGTGCCCACCGTCTGCACCAGTGCAGGGTGAGGGCAGGGACGATGACTTGCAAGTGAGTTAGTTTCATTGATGGTGAACTTGCGTTGCGTATACCGCACTATCTCCTCCTTCCCAACCGGCATCCGCTGTCAACTAAGAGTCAAGAAGACCAGAGGTGGGAGAGGACGTAAGTGGCTGGCACGGCGTAAACCTGCACCTGGACATACTACCACACCTCCTGGTCCACAACGAACAATGACCAGGATTTTATACAAACGTCACACAAACACACACTGGGCTGACCGCGAGGTCCGACTTATCCCATCAGTTGGCAGTCCGCCAAGCCACAGCTTCCAGTGCACCGTGATAGTCTCAAGCGCGTCAAATTGTTTGTAGTGAGGCGTTATGCGTTGAGACTCAACCTCATTCACCCTATCCCTTGCGCCAGTCGATTGTTCGAGCAGGTCAACCAACTGGTGCTGAAGTTAGGAGTGGTGGTTGACAGAACTGAGAACAGCTCGTCTACGAGTGCCACAAACACGACTTGTCCCCCCCCCCCCCATACCCATACACCAGGATTTCACACACATGGGGGACAGATCACTCGGATCTTGAATTCAGAACGGGAGTCGCATAGAGAAAGGAGTCAAAGACCACACTTCTCACTTACGTGAAAGGTGCCGGTGGTGTGGGACGTTGGAAATGTTCATGAGTTGGTGGGGACATGCGTGGCGATGTGATCATGTCTGTGGTGATTTACTGCAGGTTTTCATGAATGCGCAGGTGACCGAAAAGGCCCATGCGGTGGCTGAATGTGGATGGCAACGCTGGCTGTTGAAGCGATGGCGCTTAGTGTGTATTGGTGCTCCAGGCGCTGGTTCGCCAGTCTCCGTACGATAGATTTGCAAATGACCGACCCGGCCGATGCGTGAGGTAAATGTGAGATCACAATGAGGACAGGTTGGCACCGAGTCCACATCGTCACAGGTGGGAGTGGTGGTTGACGGGGCGTCGGATCGTTTCGGTCGGTTGTGGTGGTCATCGCCGCCGCCGCCGCAGCGGAGGTTTCGGCAGAGATTATGGAGACGGCGATGCTCGACAGTGGTGGGGCACAGGAATCACGAGGAGCGGCGGTGAGGATGAGCCCCATCGTGGACGTCGTGGACGTTGAAGCAGGGGCGGTCGTGGAGGCAGCAGTTAGGGTTGTCGGACGGTTGGTGCACTGGGTTGCGGACGAAGTGTTCGTTGACAGCGCGGACTTGCCCGGAGGGGTTGAATGTTGATGTTGCGGTCAGGAGCCCCTGAGACTTGCGAGGGAAGCACCCGGACACTCATTCGTGGCAAAAAGGTACCGTCTTCATGAGACAGGGAAAACACCTAGACAAGCCGTCTGAACAGGCGAGTTAAACCACGTGGGAGTATCTGGCGGGTTCGAACCTCAGTGGGATATCAGCCTCCATAATAAAGACTGCGCCTAACTGCGATGAACTGGGCTGTCCACCTCCTGACGTGGTGTCTGGTTCACTGCCACTGAGCTAGAGGAGACACGCCTTCCAGTAGCACGAATAATCGATATCCATCTCTGATTGGCAGGGCGAACTGTAGAGTTGGCGTTTCGGCCTCTAGCACCGGAGATGGTGCGTTCCGGCATCCTCTTCATCTCGGACTTAAGAATAGCCTCATATGACAGGGTTTCCGTCCTCTGCTGAATCTCGCGAACTGACGATGGCCACTTCCACTGGCGCGAGTTTTTCTCCTTACATTGGAGTGCCAGCTGCACCGACAGCCCTCCAACCTCCTCCCGTTACCCCCTAGAGTCAGGAGAGGGGAGGAGTTGAGTAAAGGAGTCGTGCGTTACTCTGGCTTCCCCAGGATGCAGTGTGGCCAACGGTGGACGGTGTTTATCCGAAGCAAGCTACAAGTTGATCCCTGAGCTGTAGGCCGCCGTGTTTGTAGACTTCGACCGGAATTGCGTCAGACCCCAGTGCTTTCCCTCTGGACAGTTGATGTACGGTTCATACTGTTTCTGGGAGAAAAGGCGGCAGATCCAGGTCGTCATTTGTTTGTAACTGAGGTCGATGGTGGCATCGAAGATTTTAGAAGGGCGGTTGAAAGTGCTTCTGAAGCGCTCGACCCAGCGCATCATAATGCATGATTTCTCCGTCAGAAGCGTTGTTCCATTGGAGGTGAGAAGTGGCGTGGTTCTTTTAGCTGGGGGGTTGTGCATCACCTTGAGTGATGCTATGGAGTTCTTGAGTTCATTGTGGACGGCATAGCCTTGGATTTCCTCAGCCTTGCGAGTCATCCATGCGTCCTGCATCTCCTTCAGTCGTTGCTGCACGATGCGACGAAAGCGGAAGAAGGCAGCCTCGTTTGCGACGGCCCCATGGTTCATGTAGGCCTTGTGCAACCTGTCTTTTTCCATGAGAAGTTGTCGTCGAACCAGTTGGTTACAAGTCGTCGGAGAAAAACGATGATAAGTGGGAAGGTGAAAAAGGGATTTTGTACATAATCGCGGACAGCTGACAGCTGGTCGAAAGAGTTACCATTTACGGTTACTTACTATTTACAAGTAGTATAAATCCATAAGTTAGTGTTGGGTTATGTGAGTGGATGTGAGGTTGATAATTGGGAGGCTTCATACGCGTCAAGTCTACACTTAAAGGAATTCACACAGTAGGAGATTGTAACATCGGTAGGTAGGGCATTCCACGCTGCAACCACTCTGTTACTGAAAAAGAACTTTCGTCCATTGATCCCTGCTTTCCCTGCGCGTAGTTTTAGGGGATGACCGTGCAAAGTGGGCGTGCTAGCTTGAGTGAAATAATCAATGGGATCCAAACAACAGTCTAGGCCGTTGCAGTTAAGCACCACGAGTTGCCGGCAAGGCATAGTGGCGAAGTGGTTTATTGTTGTGATGCTTCCAAACTGACATAGGCCACGATAGCTGGTGGGCGTGATGGGTTTTTGAGCCGGTTTGGCCGATACACGCGATTCAACCTGTCAAGCCGTTCCTCCTCTATGGTTAAGATGCCGGGCTGTACGCTTAAAAAATGACCAAAAATTTTGGGTTTTCGACTAACGCTGTCCACCACTGGCCTATCGGCTGAAGCACTCCAGCGTCGTCTGTATCAACAGTGATAACGCTGTAAGGCCATCTCAAGTCACCGAAGAAAGATAGCTGGCGTGATTTCGGAACGTTCCTTGCAGCTCGCGCCGACTAACTGAAGATGACGAAAGAGTCAACTCGAACTCTGGCGCAACGCAATGCGTCAGGACACGAAAGCTGTTCTTAGAACTTTGCCACTGAGTATCTGTCACCGGATGAGAGAGTGGGTCACTTTCATGAAATCTGCTGCGTCAGACCGTTAGGCGTAGAGTGACCCCATTCGTAACATCAATGGGACTCGCTAGACCCCATGTGATCGTGACCGTATAAAGTGTATGCTAGCGGTGTCTCCGCCGTAAACGACGCAGTGGCTGACAGTGGCTATACAGGCCGTCTACGCGTGCCACGCATGAGAAGACCAAACACGCACACTCGGAGGTCTGCATACTTCGAGGCACTGAAGACAGGCGTGCGTACAAGTACTTGCGAATAATCCTTCTCGTTCTTGTTTCCATCTGCTTGAAGCTTTGGCGTTTCGATCTTGGGAATGTGGTCTCCCAATTACTGACGTTTTACCCCATTCGTCAGTTTAAAACGGACAATAGGTGACAGAAGGGTAGGCGGAAACAGAAGGACGATATAGGGCAGCACGTACCGAGAAGATAGAGACGACCAGCGTGGCTCACAAGGTTTGACGCCAACGAGGACGGTGAGGACTCTGGCGACAGCAGAAACCACTGCCCCTCAAGGCGCGGGGAGCTATCGTCACCGTCGCCGTTTTCGACACCCATCCGAGGGAAGAAGACAGCAATTCTGCTGATGCCCCAGCCGCTTACCACGAATACGCGACCATTCAGCTCGGCCGCGCTGATGTCCACTAGCACCTCCGGCAAGGGCGGAGCTGGGTGGGTCCAAGTAGAACCAGCAGCGGGTATAACACGAAAGAAGGCCTCATCGTCGTTGTCCACGCTAGCATGACCTGGCTCGCAGTATTCCACAGACTTCAAATACTCGTACGAGGAGGAACGGCCACCAATCAACAGGACGTACCGATTCTGCAGTGTCACCAAACACGACCCTCTGCGGAATGCTGGCAACTCTGGGCCTTTTTTCCATCTGGGGATAGAGACGAGGCTCAGTAAATGCGTGTGAGGCATGCGATCTAACGAAAAATATTGAAAAATTGGTTGACTTTAGAGTTTCTTTGAATATGGAGAGGACGTTACAGTACAAAGTTCCCTGCCCACTGACCTACAAATAGCCGATTTAGTCCTTCTTACAGCATGGACGCGATATGGGTAGTAGATTCAAGAGAATCAGGTGTGTGGGATGAGATAATACGATGCTGTGCGGCCACTGAGCCCTGAAAAAGATATAATCCTGTCGACTTGATTTCCGAAGTACGAGAATGAACATGGAGAGCTCTCTGTTCTGTGGTCCCCCCTTCCATATACCACGGACTAAGCAGATCATAAATGACCCCACGAAATAGGCTCATTGGTAAGTTGTGCTCGAATATTTTTGGGTGGGGCAGACTTTCGCTGCGGCTATCTCACTCCCTCCTTCTCTCTTCCTACGCACAGCCTTCTCCGATCGCAAGACAATGGTGGGACGGCCGGGTGTGGATGCCGTGGATAATAAAACCGAACAGCCCGCCTACGCGTGCCACACACAACCCAGCCAATGAAAGGCTCTCGGGTATAATCTAAGTGAAAATACCGCAAGGGCCATCATTGTAGCCTAACCCCAGTGTTGAGTAGGGGCAATGCGTCCCGTCAGTAGGCGGGCTTTCAAGCCAGGACTGCTGACGTGTATTTGGTCATTCGTCGTGAGCCGGCGGTGATTGAGTGCACTGACCGACGTAGCATGAAGCCGGCGTCCAACTGTGCCACGTGCAAACGCCCAGACACAACACTTCGGCGCAATTGCGGACGCCGGCAGGCTCCGTCATAGCAGTGCTACATGGATTGTGGGTGAGGCCTTGGCGACCAATCTCGTGAAACCATTGTTCCCTCAAGCAACCCCATTTTGAAGCTTCCTGCGACTTCATTCTTATTGTGGATTCAGACGAAAACAGGATCCATGCATCTTTTGTTGATAGTGTCGTCTGTATTGCGGTGAAGTGGGTTACAAGGACACTTTTACCCCGTGGCGCCCCTAAGGAATGCAGTTCGCAAATCACTGACCAGCGCGCAAAAATGATGATGGCTGGCGGAGGCATTCGTGTTGTGGCCACGAGAGGCTAGAGAGCTGGCGAGTCATGATGGCCAGCAGTCAGCCAAATGTCAAATTATCCATCCGCATCACACGCCTGCAGCCCAGCCGCATTAAATGAACTTGGGCCTCCTCAGTAAACGACTGTCGGTTAACCAGAATTGTCAGGTGGACCTCGGAAACACTGTCGTTTCAGTTAAATACGCATGTAGCTGGGTGAGAAGACAGCACATTTGGTTTATTTGGCAAACACGTGTTTTTGGTAACTCGTCATCAGGCCAAAACAGTTACATAGAGGTTGAAATTATGCGAAGTTACGGGGTTTATAAGTGAATCAGGGGTTATTAACACTCATCGTTCCCACTCCACTCGCCTGGCGAGGTGTGCTCTGGTGTGGTCGGCGTGTCGTGGCCATTAGGTCAGGGGGGCGAGGGGGAGGCGGGACATAGGCTGTGAGTAATGTTTGTACGTCGGGTACGTTGTGCACACACCACTGCCATCAGGAGGTTGGGGCGACGTGCAATCATCATCTGGGGTCGGCGTTGGCCACGGAAGACAGAGCGTCTGTGTTAGCGTCTTCTGACAACATAGCACTGGATTGGCTAGCCGTATAGCCACTGCCTCGGCTGTAGCTAGCACCCGTTGGCGTAGGCCTCTGGAGGAGCTTGCTGATGTCCGCTAGACAACCTGAAAGGCTTCTTTGGCATCGACTCGGTGATTCGTACCGACAAGATGTACGAGAATAGAACTCGAAATCGATTTTTTTTCACCTCTGCCTAGCCAGGTGGGCATGTGTTCACGTACTCTCTTTTCTAGGCGCCTCCTTGGACGGCCAATGTATCCCGCTCCACAGGAGCAAGTGAATGAATAAATACACATCGATGTGGCCTGCAACGGGAGTCGGTCTTTTCCTCCCAAGCGTAGGAGGAGAGAGTTCGTGAAATGTACACGTAAATTCGCTGCGGGGAAAGCGCTAGTGATCGCTGTCTTCAGACGTCTTCTTACCAGGTCCCTTGCCGCGTCTCCTTGAAAAGGCAGTCTTATAAATAAGTCTTTCTTTTCGTCCCCTTGCCCCAATGACCATGAAACGCCGACCACGCCATAGCACGCCTCGCCAGGCGAGTGGGGTGGGAACGATGAGTGTTAATAACCCCTGATTCACTTATAAACCCCGTAACTTCGCATAATTTCAACCTCTATGTAACTGTTTTGGCCTGATGACGAGTTACCAGAAACACGTGTTTGCCAAATTGACTTTTCAATTGTAACATGGGAATATTCGCTGAACATATGGTTTCAACGAGGAATTTCATGTAATTTGTAAAATAACTCGTATTTTCAGCAAACCAACTGCTTTGAAAACAACGATAAAAACCCACAATAAATCCGAAATATTTCAAAATGAAACTGCCCAGTAAGGCTGCGGTCAACTGTGCTCGGGGTAACGACTGGATATACGCGTCCATGTTCTTATTGCTATAACATGATCTCGGTAGGGTTATTTTTCTGGCTATGATCAAATTTAGGCTTAAGGTTAGAGCTGGGCTAAAGATGAGGGTTAGGGCTAAGTTTGCCTGCCGCATAGTGGCTTACCCAATCCGGCCTTCTTTAACCAATAAACTTAGAGTGTCTGTTTGCCGCCCGTTTACACGCCTTAATTCGTATCTTTCAAATCCAGTGGTCCGTTCCTGCACCTCGTTGAGGTAATAAAACAAACGTATGACAGAAATGTGCACGTTCTCAATGCTTTCTACAGATTCCGTTAATGGCCGCATCTGTCTGCCCCACCGACAGAACTAATATTAACATCCTTTCCGCATTACCGTAGTCCGCGGGTTCTATTTTCTCAGTGGGCTTAGATATCCACTCCTGGTCGGTATCGAAATTACCCAAACTCTTCGGTAGCCACGCGGGTTACGTTTTGGTGCAAGTTTTCAAGTCGGAGGGATTTCTCTCCGTCACATCTTGCAGGACCAGCATTAAAAGGCATAATAAGTCTTCCTCAACATCTGCGCAAAGTTCATCTACTGCCTCCAAGTCCACCAACATTTATCGCAACTTTTTACGGAATGTTGGACAAATCAACTACTCTTATGGCGATCTGTTTTGCAGAATTGTTCACTCGACAAGAAACAACGTTACTTTTCCAAAAACTTCTCGCATATTGAGATGGTATTTTGGCAGTATTGCTGCAAAGACTGAACGATGACACCAAAATCCGACCAAAAGGTAGCCATTTCATATTCAAAGGCTTAATAGCTGGCCGCGACTGTTCGCAACTAGGACGCTGAATTGGTTCTTTCTGCACTGGCAATTTTTACACAACTGTTAATTCATTGTCCATGCAAATTAAAACATCTGGACTTAGCCTAACCTCATGAACAGAAAGTCCTGAGATGTCATATCTACCTCCATTGATATTTTGGCAGATTTTGAATAATTCATATTGACCCAACTGTGAAAAACTCGGCGCCTCGGTGGGATTCGAACCCACACAGTAAGGAGAAGGCTTTAGTACAGCCAACGCTCTAACCACCTGAGCTACGAGGCCACGCCGAACGACGCGAGTTTAATCACATTTGGGTCAAGTTACCCGCCCAACCAACTGCAACGTCTGGAATCCACCAAATCTGATACAGTAAGTTGACTGCCCAAGCAGGATTTCCTAAGTAATTCACCTAGAATCCAAGAGATGACTACCAGGCTCGTGTAATTCATTGATATTTTGGCAGATTTTGAATAATTCATAGTTCATAATTCATAGTTGGGTCAATATGAATATCTACCTCCGATTAAAGTTCGTCATAGAGACTGTAGTTAAAAGTCAGGGGTGTAGTGGTGTCCAGTTATGGGCCCACGTAACTTATGTCATCCTCTCCTCTTTCTGGTCCGTTTTTGTTATTGATCAAAATCCTAATCAAGTGTTTGTTGTGGACCAGGGAGTGTGGTAGTATGCTTAGATGTGGGTCCGGTCGTGCCAGCCACCTGCGTCCTCTCTCGCCTCCAGTCTTCCTGACCATGTCTTGACACCGGATCCAGGTTGGGGAGGAGTGAGTGCGGTAGATGCGGCGCAAGTCTCACTCACTGTAACCTAATTAGCGCGCGTCACTGTGTCTGCTTCACCTTTCAGTAGAGCACACGGTGGACATCGCCAGCAATGACGGCCGAAGTATTAGTAATGGTAGTAAAGGTAGTGGTGGTTGTAGTAGTAGTAGTGGTAGTAGTAGTAGTAGTAGAAGTAGTAGTAGCAGTAGTATTAGTAGTAGTAGTAGTAGCAGCAGCAGTAGTAGTAGTAGTAGTAGAAGTAGTAGTAGTAGTAGTAGTAGTAGTAGTAGTAGTAGTAGTAGTAGTAGCGACGGTAGTAGTAATAGCAGCAGTAGTAATGGCAGTGGTAGCAGCCGCAGTAGCAGTGGTCGAGGAGGAGAGTGTGCGGTAGAGGCTATGTAAGCCTACTACCACCATAAACTAATTCGCGCACAAGTCACCGTACCTGCTCTCACCCTGCTGTGGAGCTCGCCGTGGTGGAAATCGTCCACAACGACGCTCAAACTTTCAGTTTGAAGTCAAAATCTGCAGATGACGAGAACCACTTACTTATTAGAGCGAGTGTCGTAGGCCCACCAAATTGGCAATTTATCGCTATCAACCAAGACGAGGATGTGATCACGGATCCCGACACTTAAATAGGACCGGCTCTGAAAATCCCCTGCCGCGCCGCGTTTACTCTGCTTCGTTGCGACGTCGAATATGTCCACCGAGATTTGTTCTGGTCCACCCATCATGGTGTATATGCGATCTATGGAAGGTGGATGAGAGGGAAAAAGGCATGAATTCTGGTGGTAACTTCATGTGAACAATGGACACATAAATACATGTCATATGAAAGTATACTACTACTACTACTACTACTACTACTACTACTACTACTACTACTACTACTACTACTACTACTACTACTACTACTACTACTACTACTACTACTACTACTACTACTACTACTACTACTACTACTACTACTACTACTACTACTACTACTACTACTACTACTAACTACTACTACTACTACTACTACTACTAACTACTACTACTACTATTACTTGTTTGTAGGATTGACATTACGTGGTTATTTCGCGGTAGCGGATTGCCTTCGACTCAAATGTTCCCTGAGATCTCGGGTCTGACCGTAAAAAGTCAAATTCCGGGCACTTAATTCCATGTCGTATACTCAATAATTTCTGAAATTATTAGCTTTAAATGTGCAATATATTCACTCAGAAATGGGCGCACACCGATCCATTGGCTTCCCGAAACAAATAAGCTTCGTACGGGTGATAGGGGTCACGAACAGGCAACCACCTACCGGGTCGAAGTCGGCCAAGCTACGAGGGCAGAGGACAGACGACGGAGTCTGGGGGGGGGGGGGGTTGATATAGCACTGTTTCGGGCTTCTTTGTCTTCATTCAGCCAACCATAAACCTGACCACCAGCTGGGACCGGAAACACAAACATGCGTTCACACACCTGGCGCAGCTGGTCCACCACTGGCGTCTACGAGAAGGGTCATAAGCACTTCATCGAACCGAAATTCATCAGTGCCTCGCCATGCGCCATTCTCTGTCGCTGCAGATCGGGCATCTATTTACTCGGGAATGGGTACACACTGATCCATTAGCTTCCCGAAGCTGCTTCCGGCCTATCAGCAAGACTTGCCTACTCCTAGAAAAGATTTTTATACAAAAATTTTCTTCGCAAAATAACATCTAACCGAATTTTCAGCATAGGCTTCGGGGAGGACGTTCTTGCCTCCCAAATCTGCTAACTTGTCCGGAGGTCTGGACCGGGGCTTTAGAAAAGGACCGCGCGGTCCATGTTGTGTACATCGATTTCCGCAAAACAATCGACACTGTCCTGCACCAACGCCTTCTGCATAAACTGAGTACCCTCGGCATCCAGAGAGGTCTTCTAAGATGCGCAAGTGCATTTCTGGTTGGTCGAAGAGGAGCATGATTGGTGGTGTGCCTCAAGACTCAGTTCACGAACCCTTACTCCTCATCCGTTGTGTTAATGACAGCCTTCAGGAACTCGACTGCGATAAAATAATGTTTGTTGACGACGTTAAACTCTGGCAGGTCATTAAGGGCTCGAATGACCAGAAGGGCCTCCAAAAGAACCCGCACCGACTGGAAACGTGGTTGGAGAAATGGCTCCCGGAAGTCAATGTGCAGAAGTGTGCCGTCCTTTATCTGTGCCCAACCAACTGCCATTCAAGTTGCAGCATGAGGGCATATCACCTAAAGGACATCATTCATCCCACAGAATCTTCTCAGAAGGATCTCAGTGTTTCGATACAGAGCAACATGATGCCAGCGCTGCCGTGCATTAAGGCTCTAAAAAAACGTCATGGGAGTACTACAAAAGGGCGTTTGTAACCCTTGACGAGGACGCTTTTGGGAGAGTTTACGGCTCCTTTGTTCGACCTAATCTAGAATATGGCATATAAGCGTGGCGGCTACGGCTAGCAAAGGACTAAACATGCCTCGAAAAAGTGTACCGCCGTATAACAAAGCTGGTAAAAGGTGCAAAAAACCGATCCCACATAGAAAGACTGAACTATCATAGGAGGGAGAGGCGTTCACCGGGAGAGGCTTATTGGAGGCCTGACGTTTCGAGTAGTTATTTCGTCTAGTCTCTGATGATTGGTAGACAAAGTAACTACTCGAAACATCAGACCTCTAATAAACCCCTCCCGGCAAAAACCTGCTTTTGGGAATCGTATTTTCACCACTGTAGACTATTCAATTTGTGTTAGAGGCAGCAAAGAGGTGATCTTTCCCTGGTTTACGATACGTTCATGACCTCCGATGCAGTCATCGACTGGCTTCCCCAAGTGGGAACTACCAACAACCTGGACCTCCTGCTTCCGGCAAATCCTCGCGTGGTTTGATCCGCCAATTAAGGCGATTGCCGGGGATGGGGCGGTTATGGAGCCATAGACAGTGGACACGTATCATGTGTAGTCTGAGTGGAATGACGAGATAAATTTGAGCAAGACGAATGGAAGGGGGAATGACAGAGAGGGGTGCTTACTGTTCAAGATAACATAGTTAGGGCATCCACGGATTGGCATGTAACAGAATTCCTGCCACGTGTTCTCGATGGGATTAAAGATTTCCACCAACGCCATTTCGTCATCTATGTTGTCACGTTTCATGGCAAACAGCACATCCGTGGGGAGTTCGCGGTAAGCACGGTCGGACAGGGCGCCCCGCGAAATGACCTCCTGTTCTTTCAGCATCGACTTCATACGCAGAAGTTTGGTCCCCAGAGAGAGATCTCTGTGTAAGTTTGACATGTCTGGGTAAGAGCTTTAGGCATGCATGAAGCTGAACACATATCATGTCAAGCAGGACTACATGATGGCGATAACAAAGAGTCTAACAATAATCTACATTAATGACATTTTCGTTTTTGCGTACTTACCTGCTACACCACGTCTAGGGAGTGCCTGACGAATGCCCAGAAACAGTGGTGGTAGTCCTGAAAGTGAACTTATTACCGTCAGTCTATGGTCGATCTCAATGCTGCTCCCTTCAAGTCCACCGCGGCCTTCTTTTCTTCGTCGTCGTCAGACAGTTATGTGGAACCTGATAGACTGTATTAGTTTAGAATGGCAGCTCCACAGAAGTCGGAGGTGTGGCTAGTCTCCCCGGTGGGCATTGCCAGTCCGCATTGTGGGACCAGTCTCCGCGTTGCAGAGGCTGGTCTGCAACTTTCATCCAGTATTCCCGACGGGGTTACAGTCACTCTGGTTGCGGCTGACTTTGCAAACAACTGGCAAAGTCTCACTCCGGTAACAGGTACCTTGGTTGCACCACATGGCGACAAATCGTGGTTCGGGATCAGGGCGTCATGCCTACTTCTCAAGGGGTCACAGCAATCGGGAGACCGTTTCGTGTTGGGTATGACCCTCTACATTCCTACCTACTGTTATTTTCGCCGTCATGTACTACCGAAGACGGAGACGCGGTCGCTGGAACAAGAGCCTTATTAGCCTGGCGTTTCGGATTCTCACTCGAATCCATCATCAGAGAGAACCAGGTGGGGATGGGGGACGCACAGGTATTGCAGTATACGCAGGATATAGTTGCTATCCCGTGATGTGCCTATTAACATGGACCGCTCATTCGAGGGGGATTCAAGTTCAATGAGCATGACTGCCCGTCGTGATATTATTATTCTGGATTAAGATCCTGGTCAATTGTTGTGTGGAGAGGGGCGCCAAGGTGCGGGCTCGACCGCACCTATCCCACCTCCGGTCTTCCTGACCTTGTCTTGACACCGGGCTCAGGTGGAGGAGGAGGAGGAGGAGGAGGAGGAGGAGGAGGTGGTGGAGGAGGAGAGAGTGTGGTATAAACTAATTCAAGCGCAAGTCCCCGTGCTTGCCTCAACTTACTGTGGAGCACACGGCGGATATTGTCGGATGCGACGTCTAACTGACCGTTTCCGAATGCAATTTGCGGCTCACTCGGCGGAGCCCAGCTACACATTCAAGTTCGATGAAGCCGAAATTCCGGCGAGGGGCTAGAATATCTTAAGGGCGTGCAAAGGCACCGTCTGCGAACTAGGGGATGTAAGAATTATTTAACTTTTTTAGAATCACCCCATTCGAAATTCCCACAAACTAATCCTAACAAGGCACCGCTTACTACAGAAATACTGCAAGAATAAAAGGCTTGTCAACTCTGCCTGGGGAAAAAGGCAATCTCACACAAGGATCGAAACTCAATGCAAAAGCAGACATTATTTCACAGGCAATCGTTTTGCGAGCAATACAGGGGAGTGCAAAGACTTTAAATCTGGTTTAAATTAATATTATATTCCATGTCACTGTTTTTGTTGATAGTACGCAAGGAATTTGGGCTCGGCCGGTCAGGGAAAATCAACACAGAAGTGAGGAAAATATAAACTCAAGTCAGAGTAAGAACCTACGTGCAATCAAAATGGGCTCTGCAGAGCGGGTGGGACAGTATCTGTTCCGCAAAGTCCTTCGAAAGTTTGCCAAGACGAAGTCGAGAAAATAGTCTTGGAAATGCTTCGGCACGCCCTATATTAACGACCTCCCGCACTGAAGAGGGCCGCTGAGCTCTTTCATTGTAAACCCAGCTGACAATGGCCCGAAAGATATCATTCTCATTGGTGACCGAGAGGTCGTCCCGAGCTAGGATGCCCTCCAACTCGGCCGCCGTAAGAGCCAGAAAGGCTGGAGTACCAATAAACTCCTGAAAATTGGCACACGCGTACGACTGCAACATTTCCTGCAGCTCGAAGAGATCGTTTGCATGCGCAAATGACCAGTACTGTTGCACGATATCAAAGTCCAATCTACAAAGGTAAAAAGTGACAAGACGTTTGTACTGAATAAACAAAAGTAGGCATTTTTCACAAAACTGACGATGGCACGGAACCCACCACCTGGCCCGCGGTGAAGTTGGTTGGGTCGAAATGATTGCTCAAGCGCACACGTGTCTGACATGAACAGATTGGCACCTTGATGATCCCATCCGTCCAGCGACGGGAGGCCGAGAATTACCCCGTTAAACATCATTTCCAAAACATTGCTTTCTGTTCAGTGTTCTTGCACTTTTTAAGTTGTGCGCGACAGAGAGTAAATCCCACTGTGATTCTAATCTAAGTCGACGCTAAGCCTCCGGTTCCAAAGGGTGAATCCGGGCGAATCGTTTACGCAACAAAGAAGCGCTCTACGGTGACCTGCTTCTGGAGACAAAAAAAGTCAACGAAGACTCGCACCTACCGTTGGCGTAGGAAGTCCAGACACGCTACTTCCAGCTTCTCCACTTGAAACAGTTTTGCCGCCAGAATTATGTCCCGCAGGTTGCCTCCCTTCTCCTGCATCGCCGACGTGGGGTCAAACACGCCCGAGTAAGCAAAATGTAGAACTGCTTGCACGGCCCTAGTGGAATAGTGTTTGGTGTGATGAAAAAAATTTAAATACCTCGGTGCGAGACGGTTGAGGACTGTGTAGTCGAGGATATTCGACTCATTGGGATTCAAGAAAAGATCCGCAAAGAAGGGAATAGAGGCCGCCAGTATAATTTTGTGTGCACAAAATACAGAGTCTCCGATCTGGATTGAAGGGGAGTCGGGGTGAATTGGCATAACATGAACAGGGCTTACCATGAAAGTGAAATCACACAGTTTCTCCGAACCACGAAAGTGATCAAATTTAGCAAACCTTGGGAACAAAAAAACCTCAGTTAGAAATAGTGCTATTCCAGGATGTTGAGGTACAATTCATTCATTTGACATGGGGAAAGTGCCCTAGCTAAGATGTTTAAGCAGGTAACTCTGCGCTTTTCGTGTACTTATGACGACCCGCATTAATGCGCGTCTAGAGCGTAATGGATTAGCGCCGTCCCTCCCATTCATCTGCAACAGTCGGTGTCCAGTTGTCACAAACAGCATCGCTAACATGTTTGGACAACCGACGGCAAGACAGATGTCTAGACCAGAGAGTAAAAACGCTTACCGTTGCTGGAACAAAGCATCCACGTGAAAATCATCAACCGTCGGCGGTAGGAAGTCCTCGGTCGCCGCGGCACATGACTGCGGCCTGAGACCGGAGTAGGCAAAGGTAAGAAGGGCCTCTAACGTCTCACTAAACCGAACTTGGAGAAGAGAATCAGTGTTTATACCTCGATGGCGGTAGGCTTGTGGTGTCTTTCTCGTCGTAGTCTTCACCAAGCAACAGATCCTCGAAGTAAGGGTCTGATGCCGCCAGAATAACCTTGTGTGCATAGTGTGTCCTTCCGTCTACCTAGAGTAGAGCATATAAACAATAGTGCTGTTGCGGAATTACATCCAATGCTAAATCACACAATTCCTTGCGATTGCGAATCTTCGTGAATTGAGAAAAGCCTTGTCGGATGAAGGTGGTAGTTTCGGCCATGTCTTCGTCTTGGCGTCAGAGGAACTCGTCTACATTTGAAGCATGGAAAATGGCCTGGGGATATTCCCTTTTGCAATGGTGTACAACAGGTCAAGAATACTGAGTGCGAGAATTAACTTCAGAATTGTTTGCAAGGTTAATGGCCACATAAAGCACATCCCTCAGGCCGATGGTGGAAGTTGCGTTCGGACACTTATCAACCCGAAGCACAGTCTATCGCTTGGGTTACGGGGAGAGGGCTCTGATAGCTGGCGTTATGTCGTATCCGGAATTAGCTCACGAGTGCGCGCGTAGTTTCGAATGGCCGTCGGCATTGAGGGCAAAATAAAGCATTTTTGAATATGGTGGCAGGAATTATACCCAAGGCGTTGTTGGATACACTAAAGTGGACGTGAAGTCGCTTAACCTGAACCATCGAAACACTGTGAGTTTAGTCAAAACTGAACAAAGTCGAGAAGATTTACTTGACACTGGAGGTGTTCGCAACCTGCCAGCACAAAGACCTAGTTTATTCAAGAGGACTAACCCAGAGCGAATAACCACCTGATCTACCTCTACAGAGGTCATCAGGTTGGGGAGCACTGATAGAACCTCCGCCTTACAGAGCTGTCGACTCTCAGTTACTGTAGGAAAAGCGCACTGTTCATATGTGCGTGGATTTGCGCCGAGTCGTTAGTGTTCGTCTAGGCTGTAGTTAGCTAGCGGGGACGTCAGCGCGACCGAAACAGCTGTTGTCTCGGCCTCTAGTGTTGTTGTAAACCTACCTCCTAAGAACGAAAAACTAGCTTGTGAAATAACAACCAAAGCAAACATGGAGAAATGTAAACTTTAACAGAAGTCAAGCTACGCACCGGGGCTGTAAGCATGAAACATGGACGTAGAGAGTTTTCCACCCCTGTTGGACTGGGGAAACTGATAAAGCATACTGCATAAAGAAGTCCACATGCTCTATTTAATCTTAAAAGCCAGCTCACTAGCATTTTGTCCGTGACCATCGAGCTAAGTTTATATAAAATCGCCGAAGACGTTCATTACCAAGAAACTTGCCCAGTTGATGTTCCTGATTAAAACGAAATTCAGCTCCCAGCGAGTGGGCTCTAAGACAAGAAGATACAGCATGTGGGGCTATGGAGGTACGAAGCTTTAAGTCACTTGCTTGATGCAAAGGACTCAATTAGAGACTTAAGTATAGACGGATCTCAAACAGTAGCCGAAATTATTTGTTGGAGGTTGGCTTCTCCATCACTTTGCTTCAGTGGTACCTAACTGAAAGGCAGTAATTGCAACCAACTCAGTTAATGGTGTCCTCAGTCAGGGTGTCACACTGTCGACATTGGATACCAGCGTTGTATGGGATGACCGGAGTGCCAGACCTCGGTCTTCCGCACTTTGATGGTCCTGTCACCGTTAACACGCAGATGCTTATTATCAGACGCAAATATTGCCCATTTCATAGTCCACCTTCACTAAAGGCCGTCTCAGTATCCGAACTGTGGATGCGTCCGTAGCTAGTAGCTACGCATATTAAAGGGACAACAATTTTTCTGGGGGGCAAAAAGCTTTTTCTCACATTCGAACTTTTGGAAGAAGAAGCGGACAAGCAGAGTGGGTTAATACTTCATACAGATGACGCACAAAATAGAAACCGGGATGTTGGGTAAAAAAAGAAGCGCGAAAGACGACGAGTACGATAACGTTAGTGAATAATGTCGCAGATCGCCGTGAAAGTCGAAGGCTTTCATTTTGCCGATGACGGCGTCGAAATTGCAGACAATAAAACTTGAAGCATATTCTCTATTCGATTTCCATAAAATAAATGAACCCTGTCCCATCTGTCCTGAACAGCTGTCGAGTCTAGTAAATATAAACCATTCTCAAGGAAATTATTCGAGATGGGCCGAAGTAATATAAGGAATTGAGATTTTTCTGAGAAAATTCGGCCGTGTGCTAATCAAGCGATCATGAATTTTCGTTCGAATCGCACTTAGTTATCGTAGTCCTCCATCTGGTTAAAAATATAACCTACTACGCCACTCTATAAGGACGGCATTAGACGAGTAACCGCAAGTACACTAGCTTGACCCTTTGGGCGTTCTCTGCTGCCACGGAAAAGGGTAGCATAAAAAGAGTGAGCAGAAATAGAGGATTGAGGACTAAAGCAGAATAAAAGTGTAACTGTGGACCGAGTGATGAGAAATTACCTAGTGAATGGCAGAAATCGACGTACACAGGTACTTTTACAAAAAAGGCACACCTAGATTACACTGCACTGAAAAACCGATTGACGTACCAGCAGCTCAGAGTTGCTGATTATCTTGTTAGTTATCTAGCTGGCCGACGCAGTCTAACGCAGTCCTCTTTTAAGGCGTTTATGAGGTCGGAAGTCTTGGGCGTTCCACGGCCTACTACCCTGATAGCATTTAGTTGCGAGGCCTAGACATTTGCTAGCCCGTTTGAATTGCGGGCTAGTGCCGGACTAGTAACCTGACTGGCTGAGAATGCTCTATCTGTGCGAAGAAAGTAGTTTTTCTGATACGCCCCTCCTTGATGCTCACCCGAGTGCATTTTCCACGTCACGCCTTGGGGGTCCCTCTGCGCGTACGCACGCATGCACTTTGTCCGGCATTTAGGCCCCCTGTCCGTCGACTTAAATCGCCTCGGGCTACAACGCCCTCAGTTCACCCGAGAAGGCGCGCCAACCTACTGTTCCCGCGTGGGCAGTGTCCGCTAAGATTGCTGAAAAATCCAGTCAATCGCAACACTAGCCCGCGACCGGGCTGGCCCTGGGCGAGTAGAATGCTATCAGGGTACACTCGGTAGGTTCCCTTATCGGGTCATAGGACGTCTGAGCAGCTTTCCAATGGCCGCGTCCGACACGCTGAACACGCGGCATGCGTGTCCGCATCCACGTCGCCGACTGCTGGATGCGAAGAGCGGGAGCGGAATTTCGGCCAACTAAGTCAACTGCAGACGCTCCACGAAATCGGTGCATGCGTGTTAGCGTCACCGGGGCCTTCGAAACCACGGACTACGTCCGTGAGAACGGACTAACTGTGCCTAACATGCAAAGCTAAGAATCAATGACAGAACTAATTTTCCGTCAATGGAGTCCTAAACTGATAAGAGTACTTCACCAGGGCATCATATTAAGTATGATGTCAGTGCGGAAGAGAGTTGTTAAAAACTCTCTACAAAAATAGTAATAAGGCTGGTAGACATGTGGTGGGTGAAAAAAGGCTAATGAGGAACGAAGCGCTAGAACGGGTAGGGATGCGATCTAACAGTGCGCGCAACCCGAAATACCAAAAATTAAACGAACAAGCACAACGTTGGTTAGTTAAAACAAACACATGGCAAAGTTCAGCATAGTAGAAAGCAAAGGAATACGATAATCATAGTAAAAATGGGATAGCAAATTGCGTTTGGTAAATGGCGTTTCCAACTGACTGTCGTCAATATCAGTCGTTTGTCGTACAGTCAATCAATTAACAGGTTAAATGATAGGCATATCCTTAGCGCCATACCTAACCGGCTGACGTTTCTGGACGGTTCACTGGAAGCTAAAAGCCAGAAAAAAAAATCAAAGTTCAGGCGAACGACGGGACATTGCAAAAACGAGTGACTACATTCTAACTTACCTTCAGAAATTCTCTCACTCTGAAAATCACCACTTACTAGCTGTTATATATGCCGATCTCGCATCAGAACCCTAAAGCGTGCACGCAGCCTCGGTGCTTGTTTCAGCACTACAAAGTACGTGTTAGTGGATAACAGCCAGACCAACTTTTTAAGAACGAGGACTTATCCTGAGAAAGTACAGAAGGCCAGTCTCCTTGAACATTGTTGCTGTATCGATGCTTTCGGTCGGCGAAAATTCATGGGTGTGGTCTACTTTAAAAAACGTTGACATCAAAAACATGTGGGTACATGTTGCCTTGTTATGGTAGCCTGTTTGCTATGACTGCATTTATCTTGGATATTGCTTACTAAAACGAGTTTCTTAATGAATTCCTCAGTTCAGTTCAGTTCAGTTTATTGATGGAAATAGGCGTAAGCCTTTGAGTACCCTATTTGCAACGTAAACAAATGTGTGGTATACAGATAAATGTTCTAGGCTAAAATAGTTCAAACACGCCCATAATTGTAGGACAAAATGAGAACGGGTTACAGGGGGTGAGCTCTACTTCTCATCGCTCTTGGTCATTTTGGAACATAAATATGTCAAGATTCTTTTTAAAACTTTGTGTGGATGGTGACATAACAACATCTGCCGAAAGGGCATTCCATGGTTTGACCGCTCGAACAGAGAAGGATAACTTCCGTACATCCAGCCGTGCCTGCTGAGTGCGCAGTTTTAACGGGTGACCTCGGAGGTTGGTCGTGGTAGCAAATTCAACGAATTCCTCGAAGGCCAGACTGCAATCCAATCCCTTGACAATGCGGAAGGCTTGCAAGAGATCCCCGCGAAGTTGTCTGTAACGCAAAGGAAGGAGGTTCAGATTTACTAGGCGAGTTGCATAAGGAAAGGAGCTTTGACCCCTAACCATCTTCGTGGCTCTCCTCTGGACTCTTTCGAGGCAGTTTTGATCCTCAACAGCGTACGGCCTCCAAGTTTGTATGCCGTACTCTAAATGCGGCCGGACGAATGTTCCGAATGTCTTTGAGAAAGCATCTTCGTCAAAGTCCACGAACGCACGCTTGATGGAGTACAGTACGGACATTGCGGTTTTTGCCACTCTCAAACAGTGGGCGGGTGGCTTTAGGGAACTGGTCGTCAGCACGCCGAGGTCTTTTTGGGCTTCGACCTCTTTTAAGGCTGCACCGCCCAGAAAGTAGTTTCTTGTGCTGGCGTATCTGGCTGTGTGGCCTAGGCGAAGTATGCTACATTTGGCAACGTTGAACCGCAGGAGCCAACGGTTTGACCACTCCTCCAACCGATTCAGGTTCATCTGCATTTTGTCTTCGTCGGCAGGACCCCGAATTACACTCCATATCTTCATGTCGTCAGCAAACATTGCTACTTCGCAGTCTAAATCTCTTGCATCATCATCCACGTAGATAAGGAACAAAATGGGTCCCAGTATTGAACCCTGGGGGACACCACTCTCGACCATAGCAGGGTCTGATCTTCCCCGACCGATGCAGACAACCTGGTGTCGACCCACAAGGAAGTTTTCAATCCATTTAAGGAAGTTGCCACTGATCCCTATTTTTTAAGTTTATGTGACACAGTGGTGTATGGCACAGTGTTGAACGCCTTCTGGAAGTCGATGAAGGCTATGTGGACCTCGTGCCTGTCGTCGGGAGCTTGGGTCCAGCTCTGGAGAGATTGCATCAGGTTTGACGTGCAGGATCTTCCTTTTCGGAACCCATGTTGGCAATTCGATAGCAGGCCGTGAACTTCCAGGAATTGCATCAGTTCAGTCTTTATGATCCTTTCCATCACTTTGCAGAGAATGCATGTCGAGCTTATGGGCCGGTAATTTGTCGTCGCTGCCCTGTTACCTCCTTTGTGTAGCGGAGTAATATTCGCTAGCTTCCAATCGATAGGAAATGTTCCAGTGTCAAATGACGTTTGAAAGAGCATTGACAAAGGCAAAGAAAGCTCACTGGCAAGTTCCTTGAGAAGCTTGGGTGTCGCTCAGTGACTGGAAGTATCACCCAAACATAATTTCGCAAAATTTTAACTTAAAAAGAGCTGTACAATCCCTTGCGGTTCGCGGGAAAATGTTTGACCAGTCACTCTTAGGCATCCTGAAAACCGTCCGCATACGGCGGAACTTAATCATTCTCCGTCATGACAGAATTATGACTTTTGTCGCGTTGGCGAGTGATTTGTGGAAACAATTTACAGACTGATTCCGCCGACTATCAGCACACTATGCAAAACGGTGGACTTGCTTGCATTAAACGACAAAAGTCATCGCCCGTCCTACTCTTCCTGCCAATGTAAAATATCCTCTAGGTTCGCTTTAATGGATGCTCTATGGATGATATTTTTTATTTCGATGTCATCTGCAGAGAAAGTATATTTGTAGTTCGGTACGCGCACATAGCCAGTAGTGAAAAGGAAAACTAAGGTCGACTTAGGCAGTGAATTTTGTGGAACGCCACCCAGTTTGATCGTCCTCTGTACAGACCATGAGGTCACGACTGACAGGAGGGTTTTCTAACCACTTAAGAAATTTGCATTTGATACCTATTAGTGCTACCTTCTACATCAACCGCTAATGAGGGACATCATTAAAAGCCTTTATAAAGTCGGATCATCCAGTATGTACATCGCCTTTCGTTGGACGATCTTATGTAAGTTTAAGACTTGTAAAGGAAGTTGGTTACAGGTGATCTTCCTTTGCAAAATGCGTACAAAGTTGAGAGGTGTGCACTTTTATATAACCCGTAAATTCCATTTTGATAGTCTCCTCCATGAGTCGTAGTGAGTGGCGGTCAGGTAGACAGGTTTGTAAATGGTGGCCAGTGCATGATCATCAATTTTATAATAATAATAATTTTTTTTATTAAAGACCCCTCGGGGTCCCATAAAAGCAAGAAACAAATTTACATGTGAATTTTAGGCGAGGTAGGCAGAATCTGTACAAAGTGCAGTTCATTGTTTCTGAAATAGTAGTCCGTTGAGAAAAATGACTGGCGAGAGGTAAAAATAACCACTAAAATTTTTAGAATGATTGGATTAATTTTAGAGGATAAAAAACCCCTCGATAAATAATAGTAACAAGAATGCGGGCCTGACTGGCCTGTATGTGGCGGTATATAACGGATTATAATCGGGCATCGTCAGGGCAGAAATAAATGTCATCCTTGAGAGATACGTATACGGGTGGGACAGGACTGGCCTGCATGTGGTATTGTATACAGGATTCAAAACTGGCATCGTCAGGGCAGAAGTAATACGCCGGATGAGACTATTCGCGTCAATGTGGCAAGACGAGAGGAACTCGGACGCGATCGGCCACAGTACGCTTCGAGCCCAGCCGAGGAGTGGGGAAGGGAGGTACGACCAACTACTAGCAGACGACGAATACTGAGGCCTCCGCCGTGAGCGCCGACAGACCGCTTGTGGTCGAACAGTGGGAATGACATCAAAAACCGCGAAAATCGTCGCTATGGGGGAGGGGTGATAACAGTGGATTCAGAAACCCATTAAAATCAGGGTTTCTAATGATATAATTAAGAGTTACCACTTAATCTACCACTAAATCCCAGGAGAACCCTTCTCGAAGTCAAGAAGCCGAGTGCTCGGGAATGAGACCGTTAAAAGTGCCTTTAAACTTTCGGTGTAACTTCTTCACGTAATTTCGACATGAATACCAGTAACTTAGGCGACGACCTAGCTTCCGGCGGAATATTATTCCAAAGGAAAGCATATCTGGAAGCAAAAATATAGGGAGCGCTAGATGTAGTGCAAAGAGGCGGCGGAATTCAATTCAATTCAATTCAATTATTTTATTAAAGACCCGTCGGGGTCCCATCAAAGCAAGTAAAAATAAATTTACATGCAAATTTTAGACGATGTAGGCAAAATCTGCNACCTAGCTTCCGGCGGAATATTATCCCAAAGGACAGCATATCTGGAAGCAAAAATAGAGGGAGCGCTAGATGTAGTGCAAAGAGGCGGCGGAATCATCATGGAGGAGTTGCGTGTGGCATGAGGCCGATCTCTCGGAGTGAGAGTGCCAATGAGCGGGAGATTGGAGCTAGAGTTGATGCGAAAAAGGAATCGAAGTTCAGCTTCGAGTCCTCTAACCCGCAAAAACTTTATTTTCGCCAGCTGACTTCTCTGAGTAAAAGAAATACCGGACGAAGCTTGAGAGAACAATTTCCGGGTGAAAACCCTCTCAACATTTCCGATTTTATTACGGTCGCAGGCGTTCATCAAACCAAAGAATGGATAGCAGTATTCGAGGATTGGAAGAACAGACATTGGATAAAGTCTTAGCTTTATTTCCGGAAGGAAAAAATTAAGCGATATGAATCCACATATCTGCGCGGCTTTGGCAGAGATTCTATCTGCATGAAGTGATGAAGCAAGCTTATTTGTATAACTTAGACCTAGGTCCTTTATGATGAGGCATTCTGAGAGTGGGTTATTCTGAAAAATTATGGGACCAGGAAGTTTGGCAGGACCAAAAGATATGAAACTACACTTGGATGATGAAAACTCCATCTGCCATGTTGAACTCCATCTGCTTAAGCGTAGTAAATCGGCATTAATTGTTTCAACGCAAACGTTTGCGGTGCCCTTAGAATATGAGTAAACGCACTTATGAATACACGAACTATGCTAGTTTTCCCGACAATTGGAAAACCTCCGTTAACAAAGAATTTCTGGAATAAAATAGTGGTGGCATAATCAGCTCTCAAATCGCAATTCGGCTGTGAAGTTCACCTCGCTCGAACGTATCNTCTCGAGGCGATAGGAACCCAGATGCGGTCGATTACATTCATCCGAGTCCAACCGAGGATGGGGGAAGGGAGATGCGACCAAACTACTAGTATATGGCGAATACAGAAGGTTTCGCCAAGAGCGTCGATGGCGTGCATTCTGTGAGGGCACGATGCATGAACTAAAAAGTTGGAATAATTAACATTTCTGGTGAGGGATCTTAGGTAGCGAGACTACTCATAAAGAAACGTGAACAGATACGGAAATTTAATAGCGGCATGCTAAATTCCCGGTGGCCCTTTCTCAGTGTCATAGGAAAAGTTGTCTGGGAAAGATGAGGAAAATAAAAGTTTAATCGAGTCAGTATTCAGATAAAGGCGTAGCCTTCTCTTAAAGGTGTGTAGATTTTCTGAAGATCTTATATTTATTGGAAGGTTATTCCAGAGGAAAGTATACCTGGAAGCGAAAAAAAGGGAGCGCTTAGAGGTGGAGGACGCTGGAAGAGGTATAATTAGAGACGAATTGCGAAGATTGTATGGGCGACTACTAGGGGTAAGTGCTGAAATCCGAGGAAAATTTGAACTATAATTAATGCGAAAGAGGAGACAGAAGCCCGCTTCTAGTCTTCGAACCCATAAAAATTTTAGGTTAGTTAGTTGGCACCTATCTGAGTAGGAGATACTGGGATGTTCCCTATCTAAAAGTTTTTTTGAAAAACGTCTTTGGACATTTTCAATTTTTAAACGACTGGCTTCATTCATCAAACCAAAGAATGGGCAACAATACTCGAGAATGGGAAGTACAAACATACGATAGAGCCTTAATTTAATTTCAGGAAGATAGAAATTGTAAGAAATAAAGCCACAAATCTGAGCAGCTTTGTCTGTAATTCTGTCAGCGTGCGGCGAGAGATCAAGATTACTAGTGTAGCTTAAACCTAAATCCTTGATGGTGGTACATTCAGTCATAGGTGTTCCTTGAAAGACCACAGGTTGGGGTAGCCTATCAGGTCCAAAACATATATAACGACATTTCGACGGAGAGAATTCCATTAGCCATTTTGAGCTCCAAGCTGAGAGAGCAAGCAAGTCAGCATGGATTTGCTCCAGGCAATGAAGGCTCGTAGATTTTTTAAAAGAATATACACATTTGAGATCATCGGCATAAATAAATGATTGAGAATGTTTAACTGCGGCTGAAATATCATTTATGTAAAGTAAGAACAAAAGGGGACCTAAAACGGTACCTTGTAGGACACCGCTCACAATAGGACTTTCACTGGAAAGTGAAGATCCAACCAAAACCTTTTGTTTACGATTAGACAGGTATGACCTGAGAAAGTCTATTAGTGGACTGCGAATTCCCATAGCTTCCAATTTAATCAAGAGTCTTTTATGTGGCACTTTATCAAAGGCTTTACTAAGATCAAAATAAATTACGACAACAGATAGGTGATCATTACGAAGAGAGGTAAGTAGATCGAGAAACGACAGATGACATGTTTCACAAGAGCGATCTGGAATCACCATGGAGGAGTTGCGTGTGGCATAAGACCGATCTCTCGGAGTGAGAGTGTCAATGAGCGGAAGATTGGAGCTAGAGGTGATGCGAAAAAGGAATCGAAGTTCAGCTTCGAGTCATCTAACCCGCAAAAACTTAATTTTCGCCAGCTGACTTCTCTGAGTACAGGAAATACCGGACGAAGCTTGAGAGAACAGTTTCCGGGTGAAAACCCTCTGAACATTTCCGATTTTATTACGGTCGCAGGCGTTCATCAAACCAAAGTAAGGATAGCAGTATTCGAGGATTGGAAGAACAAACATTGGATAAAGTCTTAGCTTTATTTCCGGAAGGAAAAAATTATGCGATATGAATCCACATATCTGCGCGGCTTTGGCAGAGATTCCATCTGCGTGGGGCGATAAAGCAAGCTTATTTGTATAAATTAGACCTAGGTCCTTTATGATGAGGCATTCTGAGAGTGGGCTATTCTGAAAAATTATGGGACCAGGAAGTTTGGCAGGACCAAAAGATATGAAACTACACTTGGATGATGAAAACTCCATCTGCCATGTTGAACTCCATCTGCTTAAACGTAGTAAATCGGCATTAATTGTTTCAACGCAAACGTTTGCGGTGTCCTTAGAATATGACTAAACGCACTTATGAATACACAAACTATGCTAGTTTTCCCGAGAATTGGAAAACCTCCGTTAACAAAGAATTTCTGGAATAAAATAGTGGTGGCATAATCAGCTCTCAAATCGCAATTCGGCTGTGAAGTTCACCTCGCTCGAACGTATCGTTTCTTAAAAATCATCTCGTCCTGATACTAATTTTGATGCTATTCGCCCTGATGACACCATCAATGAAAACAGCTGACGTGTCGTGTGCTTGTGAAATTTCGGGTCGGGATTCAACCTCCTCGTGTGAAACTGGTTAGCAAAATTAATAAAGAGGTTTATTTTTCTTTGTGTTCCTTGGTTTCCCGATGTAATAGTCAGCCCTCATATAAAAGATGAATTGTTGTTGAGTTTGCCTTTGGGAGTAACTGTGGAGCTGGTTGACATTTTCTACAACTAGGCAAAACAACTACTTGCCGATACAAACGAAGATGCGAGTTCCAGGGACTAGTTGGTAACACGTAGAATCGATCGGTGGAACACAGACTTTCTTCGCCTGACGTTCGGGTTCTCGCTTGAACCCATCATCAGAGACAGTGACAGAAACGGGTGATTCGTGCACAGGAATATGCTGTATTTATAGAAAGCAATCGCTACGCTACCGCATACCAATGGTAATTAACCGCTCTCCACTTTATCATGAATTGTTGCTAACCAGTGCGCTAATTACTGGATGGCAGATATGCAAGTTGTTAATTGCTGACATCTCATCACCCGTCTTGGATGCTGGTGTGATGATTGCTCGTCCATCTGGTTCACCGGCCTGCGCGCTTCTAGAGTGGTTAATTACTTTGGTCAGACTATGCCTCAGCACGGAATATGGAGTAGGGATGTCGTTGCACCTGTTGATAGACTAGGATCCCATGAACCATGGCTCAAGCAACTCGCGGCTCGCACGATTATCCCCTCTCGCGAGAATTTCGGCCTCATCGAACTTAAGTGTGTGGCCTGGTCTCGTCGAATGGGCCGCGACCTGAGAGTTGGTGTCATTTCTACGCACCGCTGCCGCGTGTTCGGCGATTCGCGTCCGGAGCAGTCTCCCAGTTTATCCGACGTAGTTTCTTTGCCTGCAACTGCACCAATTTCCGTAAACGACTCCAAATGTTTCTTGCCGTGGCTGTGGGTCTTTTGGTTCCATCACCTGACGTCTTATGATGGCCTCCGGTCTGTGCGCAACTCCAACTCCGAGTGATGCAAGATTGTAACTAACGGCCTCGAGGACGTTCTTGATGTACGGGATCGCTTGCCAGAATTGGGAGCCGGTACCATTTTTGTCGCTCGTCTCGTTTGCGCATGCGCCGGTTGGCGAAGTTCCTTGGGTAACCATTTTCTCTGAAAACCCGTCGAAGATATTGGGATTCGCCAACCTTGTCTTCCGGTTCACTGCAGTGCGTCTCAACACGCCGATATGGCGTCCTTACGCAATTACTTTTGTGGTGGATTGGATGGTTGCTGTTGAAGGTCAGTATTTTCGTCGTGTTCGTCGCTTTCCTGAATACTTAGGTCTTTAGACCACCACAATCTTTGAGACAGACATGGACATCCAGGAAGGCCAGATGGCTATTTTATCCTCCTCCATCGTAAATTGTATGTCCGGGAAGACGTTGTTTAGACGTTCTTTGAACGATAGCACCTGGTCCCGTTCGATGATGACGAAGGTATCGTCCACACACAGAGTCCAGAATTTCGGTCTGTGTTGTTGGAAAACCAGCGCCTCTAACCGCTGTAGGACCGCCTCGGCGATGGATCTCAAAATCCGCGAGCCCATTGGCGTTCCCTTCACCCGCTCGTAGATCGTTCCGTCATACGTGAAGTACGTCCTGAGACAGTACTTTACGAGCTGAAGGTCTTGGAGATGTCCGAGACGGTTCTCCGTTCGATTGTATTTGCTTTGTGGGTGTTGCTCGACGGTCTCGATTGCCAGATCCTGTGGATCCTCTTTGACGGAACAATCTACGACCGAAGAAGACATGCAACGGAGCATGGACCTCTTCGTCTCCGGCTGTGCTTTCTTCGAACTGACCACCAATACGGAGAAAACGGTGACCACGTACCATCTGCCACCGAACGTTGAATGCAAATCTCCTCGGATCACTGTCAGCGGCAACCAACTCCAAACCGTGGACAACTTCGCCTCGCTCAGCACAAACGGCGACGATGAGGTTACTCGGCCGTTCTGCAGAGACAGCCAAACCTGCGGTCGACTGCAATCGTCGCCGCCAAATCCAAAAGGGCCGTTCGCAAGTTTCAGACCCCTCCGATTCGCAAAATGGCCACTCAGCCCCACCTAAAGGGTCCACGCTGTCAGTGAACATTTCGTGCGGGGATCGGCCTCGTCGCTCATCTTCGGACTCAATGCACCAGCCGTCCGACGACTGTAATTCTTGCCTTCACGGCCGCCCCTGCTCCAACCTCCATGCCGAACACGTCGGCGCCCACCCTCAACAACTTTGTTTCGAGTCCGAGTGCCGTATTGTCGTCGACCATCACCACCTTCATTATCTCTGCCGCAGTTGTCGCGGCGACAACTAACACAACCGCCTCTACCACCGACTAAAGCGTTTCTGACGTCCTAACAAACGCCCACACCTTCATCATCACCACCCCCACCTGCAGCGATGTCGACTTGGTCCATACCTGTCCTTATTGTAATCGCATATTCACCTCCAACATCGGTGTGGTCGGTCACTTGCGAATCCATCGCACAGGCACTGGCGAACCAGTGCCTGGACCACCAACACACATTCACCGCATCCGCCTAAACCGTCATCTCTGTCCGCGCACATTCATCTGCCGCATGGGTCTTTTCGGTCACAAGCGTGTCTATGACTGCGGAACACACCGCAGTTCCGATGCATCTAGCATGTCTTGCACACAATCATTTTCCCATCTCCCAGTGCGCTCACCATCACCATCATTGAAACTGACTCTGCAGCTCCCGACCTATCCTGCCCATATTGTCACTGCACGTTTATCTCACACATCGACCTGGTTGGTAATTTACGAGTTCATCGCACATAGACTGGCGAATCAGTGACAACAGACGCACTCGCCTCATCGCAGATACGACATCATTACACATTCCCCCACCAACACATGCATCATACAAAAACCCTCAAAAATTCCACAACACCGGCACCTCCCACGAAACTGAGAAATGTGTTTTTCGGTTCCTCCTCCACGTAATTCATTTGCTGCACGTATGATCCGAACATGAAACTATCGTGGTCTGCCAAGTGCCGTGGCTTGGAAGGTTGCCAAATGACGCTTCAACTCAGTCCTCACATTCAGCCCAGTGTGTGTTTGTGTGGGGTGGCTGGCTGGCTGGTGATCCCAGAGTCAGACTGCAATGGCTCCTTCTTACTGTGCCTTTTATGGCACTAACACCTAGTGGGAGTCGATCTGGGTGTGGCGGCACGTCTAGGGGGTGGCTCCTGTCACGCCAGTCGTCGCCCTTGTTGTTGTTGGCCAAAACTCTGGTCGGCGCTTGTTTGAGACCAGGGGATGTGATGGTACGCCTAGTCGCGCCAACCACCTACGTCCTCTCCCGCTTCCTGTCTTTTTACTTATGTCTTGATATCGGGCCCACATGGAGAGGAGAGAGTGTGGTAGATGCTGTGAAGGTCTGGTATAACTATAAAAGGAGTCACGCACATGTCACCGTGCCTGCTTTCATCCCCCCCTCCCCCCTGTGGAGCACACAGTGAACATCGCCTGTCACGGCGATCTAACTTCCAGCTCCTTGTGCATGAAACTTTGATGTGTACGTATTGGGTTCGGGTCGTGTGTGTGTGACATGCGCAGACGGGCTATCCTTGGCAGTATGGCCACACATGACACACCTTGTACATCCGCCAACTCTTCCATCCCCCCCCCCCTTCCTCCAGCGCGACCACCACTAGCAGCATCCCACCGGCAACCGACACAGCATCCCCCAGCCTATCCTGTCAACACTATCACCACACATTTACCCCACGCATCGGCCCGGTCGGTCGCTTGGGAATTCGCCACATAGAGACTGGCGAACCAGTGTCTGGAGTACTAACATATACCAGACGTCATCGCCACAGTTGCCCGTATTAGTCTCCGCATTCAGCCATCGTCTGGGCTTACTCAGTCACATGCAACTCCACGAAAATCTGCAGTAAATCACCGCAGACATGACCAAATCACCATACATTAATCCAACAACAAATGCGCCGCACACGAACACCCAGAGAATCAAACAACGTAGCCTCCCCTCACGTAAGCGGGAAATGTGCCATTCGGTTGCTTTATCCTCACGGCACCTCTGACACACGCTGTATCTGAGTGGTTCACATCCTCCGGCGTGTGTGTGGCATGCGCAGGCGAGGCGTTCTCAGCTCTGTCATCCACCTTTCCCAATCTCAGCATCAGTTGGTTGATCGGCTCGGGCAATCGTCTAGCGCAGGGAATAAAGTAGAATGATCGAGATCGACTTTCAGCGAACAATTCCTCACTATGAACAATCTGACACTCTTCAAACTATCACAGTCTGTTAAAAACCGTGGCTTGAAGGCTGCTAGCTGACGCTTCAACCCACACCACGCAGTCGCCCCAGTTGAGTGTTTGTATGTTGAGTTGTCGACTGGTCGATTGAGGGTCAAAGCGTAATGGCACCTTCTTACTGGCACTCTCATACATGTGGCAACCAATCCGCCTAGGTTCGGCTTCGGCCGTGCCGGCCTCCAATCTCTGTTGCTACTGGCTAAAAACATGGTTATTTGTTGTGTGTACCAGAGAGTGTGATGGAACGCCAAGGTGTGGGTTCAACCGTGCCTCCACCTGCGGCCTCCCTCGTCTGCGGTCTTCTTGACTCTGTCTTGACACCGGGCTCAGGTGGGGAAGGAGGAGACAGTGTGGTAGATGTTGCGCAAGTCTGCTGACACTATAAACCCCTGCGCAAGTCACCGTCCCTGCTCCCACCATCTGCTGTGGGGCATACGGTGGACACCGTCGGATGCGACGTCGTCATTCTCAATTCTACCACTCATCTCGATTATATCTGAGTAAAGTCTTATGTCAGCCTCTCCTGGCAGGCTAAGTAATGTGGGTTGCGAAACCAGTGATCAAAATCTACTGTTTCGCATCGAACTTTTCCAAAACACAGTTGCAATGAACGGGCTGCGGTTACACGAGTGTGAACAGTGCTTGGGACGCTTTAGGCAGTAGTCTTGTAGTAAACACGGGAACTTCGTTCGGTGAAATATCGAAAGCCCGTGGAGCATCCAAAAACAGCCAGGGAAAAATCCAAACGCGGAGGCAGACATGTTAAGACCCGTTTTGCACAATATGTTGAAGAATACGTCTGCGTTTGCAAGCCGGAAAATGGGAGTCATTTACGAGACATACTTTTATTACGATTCTCATTTTCTGCACCCTAGACTATGGAAAAATAAATGGACAAGATTACTTAGCACAAACGTCTTCCTTCTTTATGGCAAAAGTAATTGCAGACCGCGCTGGATCTTCATCAAAACACTTCACAAGGATGAGAACAAGGGAGACGTATTTAAGTGTAAATATTGAAGAGTAGGCATCCCAAGAAATATAACTCTAAGTCAAATATGTTTTTTACAGAAAAGTAACGAGCCCTATTTTGTTGATTTCTAACGCCGATTCCCTGGGTCGTCGTCAGACGTAAAACAAATGAGGAGAACAGTAAAAATCAATGTTTGTTTGACGTCTGCACCAATAAGCGGTCGCAGTGTTCCAACATCCTGTCTCGATTGGTCGATGTCTCCCGCATTGCTCCCTAAGATTTCTGAGCACGGAATTCAAGTCAGCATGCCGATTGATGCACGACTCGCCCGAGTGCACAGTCTTGAGGAAATTTCGGCCTTTCTTGGCAGACCACGACATTGCGAGTTTTGTCCTAAGTGAGGGTGTACCCCGTATCTACAGTATGCACGTCCGCTTAAGCCAAGTGCTCTCGCTACTTTACTGTCAATTGCTGTTCTTGGATGCGTGTAAAGGCGGATTTTGAAGTTTGACCACAAGACACTGCATCACCTGGGATTTCACGGACGAATTCCGTATCCAGATAGCTAACCGTATTCTTAGGGTTACAAGCTGAGTGCTGAGTGTAACCGTCGCCTTGTGTTCCGCTTGTATTGTGTGTTTCCTCGGGTGTCTTTCAACGAGCTCAGACGCGTTATCAGTATATCGAAAGGCACCTTGGAATAGTTTGTACGCCAATACATATTGCAAACTAAACAGAACCAAATACCTGGCGAATTCTTTCTTATATTGAACATATGTCTGAACTTCTAGGAAGACATTTAAAGAAACACCAAATATAAGTGGAGCACAAACCGACGACAACATTGCGCACTTAACTTAAACACGCCAAGGATAGGGTTGGCTATTTAGATAGAAAGGAGCTCGTCTACGAGGGCCCATGCGGAGCCTGCGATGAAGTTTACTGTGGTCAAGCGGGAAAATCCGCCTCTCCACGCATTTATGTACACCAATTGGCAGAAAGGAGGCGAAGCTACCCGTCCCAAGTGGTCCTGCATTCTCTGAACACTGGATGCGCCTTCGTCTGGGACAAAACTCGCATTTTCGGTGTCTGTTTCTCCAAGAAGGGCCGAGATTTCTTCAAGGCCATGCACTCAGATTAATCATGCATCAACCGGCATATCAAGCTGGATGCCCCGTACAAAAGTCTGTGAGAAATGAATGGGACAAGCGCCAGTCAGAACGGACTGACGCAAGTGACGGCCGCATAATTGCGTAAACGCCAAGGTATTCGGATCGTGGCTGCATATGAATGTGATGATGGTCCTTACCAGGCACCTCCGTCGAGGCTTTTAAGCGGAAGTTGGACCAGTATACCACCAAACATCATAATGTCATCTGACCGATAGCGTCTTAGTGTTCCATGCCAACAGTTTATTATTGTTATAATATTACTGATTATATACCAGTAACGTTTGTGTTTACTGTATAATTATCCCAAGTGCATTGAATGTTAATGTAGGTTCCGATTAATCTCCCTCAGAAACTGAGATTGCACAAATATCCTACAGCACAATTATGCATAGACTGACTACTGCACAACACATTTAGTAATGTTAACAATTCGTCTATCTGACCGGTCTCGAAAAAATTCTACGGCTGTTTGAAGTCCCCATTTCCAAATTTTTGATTTAATTTGCTTCCATGTGACAAAGATGGAGTTCAAAGGTTGAACACGTACGTTTCCTTCCGATAAACTAAACTGAACTAAAGAACCTTGATGTCCACGCCAGTGTGACCAACACCGCCTAGGGTACAAATCCTGCTACTACAACCTAAAATACGTCAGTCTGTCCTCATTCCGGCGACCATTTGCAACTAAGCTCGCACTCGATTATCAGACGTCGATTATCATAGCACCCTTAACCCAAACGTCCCATTTAGAGCTTTGGCTTCGCAAGCGTCCGAGCACACAAACGTCCGTGAACAGTTCTGAGTTTGGTTCTGGAAATCAACATTTTCGTCCTGCCATACATCACTGAAAGAAGCAATATCCCTGGGTTGTCTTTCCGCACGTCAAGACGAGGACATGGCCGGAACTACCACCTTCATTCGACGTGACTTTTCCCAATTCACGGAGATTCGCAATCAGTGGGACTGTGTGATCACGTATTCGAGGTAATTCCACAACAGCCTTGTTGTTTATATGCTCTACTCCAGGTAGATGGAAGAACTCACTTTGCACACAAAGTTGTTCTTACTGCATAAGTACCTTATTTTGAGAAAATGTTGTTTGGCAGCGACTACGACGACAAAGACACCGCAAGCCTACCGCCTTCTTCCCCTAATTCAGTCAATAGAGACTTTCGAGGCTCTTATTGCCTTTGTCTACTACGGTCTCAAGTCCGAAGCAAGCGCTGTGGTAACCGAGGGCTTCCTACAGTCGAAGGTTAGTTACGTCCACCTGGATGCTTTGTTGCAGCAGCGGCAAACGTTTTCGACCCTTCGTCTTTACATCCTTTTCGTCGTTGGTTGCCTCTGCCACTTTATTTGAATGTTTCAGCAGTGCTCTCTATGGTTCTAGTTTCCATCCCTTTGTGAAGGCTCGGAGACCGTCGCTGATTAGTGGTGAGCCAATTCTGCCGCGGTCCCCCTCTATCGCTAGTACGGGGGGCCGAGACGGAGAGGGGAGCAGGGCTCAGACAGCACATAGTTTGAGAGCTTGTAGTGGCCCTACTCCAAGCGCCTGTCTCAACACTGGGCCTCTCGCGAGTGTCTGCACGTACTCACCAGGGCTGTCTGTCTCGGCTCTCCAACCGGCCAATCAGATTCAAGGTCGATTCAGATGTGCCCTGGCTTGAGACGCTTTGACACATTCCCTGACATAGACTTGGGATGCCGCTCACCTGACGCCGGACGTGCCCTTGTCGGGCTTCCAACTCCCTCCGACTCCTTCTCCAGTAATTCTGTACAGAATATGCAGCTGATGGGCTAACTCATGAAATGTTAACCGAAATACGTTTTCGTTTCGAAAAGATTAATTAAGTATGGTTGTAAAACTAATAATCGTGCAGCCTAATTCTATAATTATTCAGTTACTTCAGGATGCCGGCTGCCGAATGAACTTCTTTCCGGCTGCATGCAAAAGCCATACTCTGCAAAAAATGACCACTTAAGAAGCATGTATTTTCCTCATTGATTTTCGATGCCCTTGAAAATTCAATTATACTTCATGGAAAACATGCAATAAAAAATATTCATTCTTTTGCTTATTCGGTAGAAAATTACGTCTTCTTCCAATTTTATACTCGACAGGAGGGTATACATCGGCTTTAAACGTTCCGAATTGTGAGATTTTTTAATACCGTGAAATGGCCGTTCATAAAACGTCGAGTCTCTGCATTTACCGATGCGGCTTGCAAAGTTAACAGTAGGCTCAAATCAACTGCTAAATTTTATGAATGCATATGGTCTCCTCCTAATACCGTAGAGAAATATATGGTTTTCCGTAGACGGAAAATATACGGCTTGTAGTTTAGAAACCCTGGATGCAAGTGTAGCGACAGGTCGGGGTCAAATTATTCGGGAGTTGGAAAAGTTTCGAAAACCGAATTATACCATTCCTTTGAGTGTAAAATTGGAAGTCGACGTAATTTTCTACCAAATGAACAAAAGAATTAATAATTTTATGAATGGCTTCCATGAAGAATATTTGCATTTATAGGAGCATCGAAATTCAGTGAGAAAAGTGCATGCTGCATAAGTGGTCATTTTTTACAGAGTATGGTTTCTGCAAGCAGCCGGAAAGAAGTTCTTTCTACAGCCGGCATCCTGAGGTAACTAAAACATCATAGAATTACGCTGCATGCTAATAATTTTTACAACCCTACTTAAGTAATCTTTTCGAAGCGAAAACACATTTAGAAATTTCGGCTGACATTTCACGAGTTAGCCCACCTACTGTATATTATCCTCACCACTGGCGTCGGCCCTCTCCCTCCATTTGGGACCGAGCCTGAAGGTCGTGCTGGTCAGGGTCGCACTCTCGCACCTCAAGGCCTTCCCGTAACGGCTGGATGTTTGCAGACTTCCATCCAGTGCAGGCGCCAGCCACCTTCATCGGAACACCACCTTCACTAACATGGAACAGGGAAATCAGCCTACTTTTGCATATTACGGCCTTCCGACGACAGAAAAATGGTGGTGGTAGTAGTAGTGGTTATAGTGGTTGTGTTCCCCATACGGGTCACGTGGTAGATGCGCTGGACCAACACGAGGGCCATATCGGATTCTGGCAGGCGTTATCGGATTTGCGTGCCATAACAAATGCTAACATTTCAGGGTGCTATAGCAGACCCGGTAACCGGCAGACGTCGCGCACACTGGGACCTCTGCCGTCCCCACCCCCCCCCCTCCCCCCAATGTTGTGTAAAATCCATGCCATGCGGAATAGCTGTTGACGGCTCAAGCGACGGTATTCCGGTGGGACTGACTTATGTGACCCCCTAAATTGTAAATAACAATAGTTATGGCCAGTCCAAGTAATGAAGGTGGACCTGCACCTAATTCCGGACATGCCACCATATTCTCGAGTCCTCACTGCAACAATGACTCTTGTGTAAAACTAAACCGTTGCCCTAATCTCGACTCTAACTCTAACCTCACCTTAAATCTGCAGTTAAAACTAGCCCCTACTTTAAATTTAGCCTCAAAACCCAATCCTCACAGTCACCCGTATTGCGAGCGGTTCCTGTCCTCATGTCCTGTTTAGAGGACCATATAAGTCAGTCATACCGCTTTTTCACTAGACAACTCATAGTTGTGTCTGCATAAAAATACCATAGTCGCACGCCCCCCGTACCAGCCATCCTCACAGTTCATTGTTCGTGATGCGGGCTTTTGTCTCTCGTCTCCGCTCTGCTAACAATCCCAAGTCAACCACGGGCGAGCGCTTTTGATTGTTTTAAGATGTAGGTTCATGGTGTGACTATAATACACTGAAGAGGTTTTCCCGAGAACGACCGTTCTCAATTCGTCTCTTCCAAGCCACCCGACCTGTAACCCCTTGGGCCACTACGGATCAGCTTCTTGGCCCGCGGCCGGTGCAAATGTCTCACCGCCTTGCCCCTCCCAACCCTATTAGGTAGCACGACGCCGTAATGCGGGGACGCGTTGACGAACTGCCGGCGTGTCGGTTTTAGTCGTCTAGGCCTCAGCAGGATCCGCTCTGCGCCCAGGGCCACAGCCCAGCGCCATCTACTCGCCAACGCTAGCCCTGATCGATCGATTGACGTGCTCTTTCTGACACGCAATGACCAGCGAGTTACTGACGCCGCCCCAGTGGACATGTCATGTGACCTCGGGCATCATCGTCATCCCCGCCCGTTGTGGGGTGGGGGGGGGGGAGCAGCTGCCCACGCTGTTGGCGTTGACGGCATGTCCCTGTGGGGGGTGCCGGGGTGAGAAGGGATTTGGACGCCGGTGACCAGACCACAGGGCGTCGGGATGGGAATGCCAAAGCTGCGAACGAAGAGGCTGCGCCAAGTTGGTGGGATTAGGCGATCTTGACCGGCCAGCATTGTCACCTCGTTACATGCCTCCCCGCCCCAATCCCCAGCTCAACAGTCTGTCGCTGCGAGGTCGTCAAACAAGTAAAACAGTCGGAATAACATTACCAACAAAGACAAGGGGTTGGTTATGGCTGGCGCATAATGGCTAATCAGCCAAAAATGGCCGCTGAATGGCTGCTGGCGAGGCTCCGAGATCGACTCCCAAGCCGGAACGGGACGAGGAGGTTTCGTAGCGCGTTCGGTGAGGGCCCTCTACCACAGCTACATAAAACAGATTGCACGTGTGGATCACTGGCAGCGCAGTGCATTTCGCTGACTACCAAATTCTGGGTATTTCCAGTTCGGAGGTCGACTAGCAAGTTAGCCGAGGAGGAATGTTCGACGACCTCTCCTGACACGGACACTAGGCGTTTTGTTCTGGAGATTGGGATTAGGGGCCCTTGCAGGGGGTCGTGGACCACCGTGCAGTCAGCAGTCGAGAAACATTGCTGAAAACTTGCTGTCATCCGCCGACATTGTGCAGAGGCTCATCTAATCTCTTGTAGATATGTGTAGTCCCTATCGCAGTCGACGCAATGATATTGCCATGTCGTTTTTAAACTTCGGGTGTGGATTGCCTGCGTTTACGGCAGGCCAACGGTAACTAGGGAGGTCAGTGGTGGTAGTAGTAGTAGTAGAAGCAGTAGTAGTGGTAGCAGTAGTAGCGGTAGCAGTAGTAGTAGCAGTAGTAGTAGTTGTAGTAGTAGTGGTGGCAGTAGTATTAGTAGTAGTAGTAGTAGCGGCAGCAGCAGCAGTAGTAGTAGTGGTAGTAGTAGTAGCAGCAGCAGCAGTAGTAGTGGTAGTCGTAGTAGTAGTGGCAGTAGTAGTAGTAGTGGCTGTAGTAGTAGTGGTAGTAGTAGTATTAGTAGTAGCAGTAGTTGTCTTAGTGATGGCAGTAATATTAGTAGTAGTAGTAGTAGTAGCGGTAGCAGTAGTAGTATTAGTAGTAGTTGTAGCAGTAGTAGTAGTGGTGGCAGTAGTATTAGTATTAGTAGTAGTGGCAGTAGTAGTAGTAGTAGTGGCAGTGGTAGTAGTAGTGGTAGTAGTAGTGGTAGTAGTAGTAGCAGTAGTAGTGGTGGCAGTAGTATTAGTATTAGTAGTAGCAGCAGCAGTAGTAGTAGTGGTAGCAGTAGTAGTAGCGGTAGCAGTGGTAGTTGTAGCAGTAGTAGTAGTAGTGGTGGCAGTAGTATTAGTAGTAGCAGCAGCGGCAGTAGCAGTGGTAGTAGTAGTACTAGTAGTAGTAGCGGTAGCAGTAGTAGTATTAGTAGTAGTTGTAGCAGTAGTAGTAGTAGTGGCAGTAGTATTAGTAGTAGTAGTAGCAGCAGCAGTAGTAGTAGTAGTAGTGGTATTCGTAGTGGTAGTAGTAGTAGTAGCGGTAGCAGTAGTAGTATTAGTAGTAGTTGTAGCAGTAGTAGTGGTGGCAGTAGTAGTAGTAGTAGTAGTAGTAGTAGTAGCGGTAGCAGAAGTAGTATTAGTAGTAGTTGTAGCAGTAGTAGTGGTGGCAGTAGTAGTAGTAGTAGTAGTAGTAGTAGTAGTAGTAGTAGTAGTAGTAGTAGTAGTAGTAGTAGTAGTAGTAGTAGTAACGTAAGGACGAAATGAATGCAATTATTACCGAAAATTTATTGTTTAACTTTGGCAAAAACGCGCAGAAATACAAGAAATGACCCGGTCATCCGGGCACTGGGAACAACAAAGAGATGGAGTGGAAACAGCCGGCGGAGGCCATTTGCTGCCTGTTTCTTTTCACACGAATATTTATGAATATATGCTTATGAGATTGCGTGTAAGTGTACGTATATTAGGTATAGTGCTGCGAGCTGCTGCCATCATTGAGCCGAAAGAAGAACAAGAATAAAATGAACATGTTGTTAATGTTCAGTCAAAATTCCACAAAAAAATGGAGACCGAAAAACTGCCAGGCCTCTGGGAGTGCCCGATGAGCCTA